GTTTCAGAAGAACCAAACATGGGCGTTCTGCTTGAGGATACAAAGACCGCTCTCCCCAGACAATGCCAATAACAGATCCTGCTCACCAAATGCTGTCAGGTGCATTATCTCATAATTGATGTCCCTGGCAAAGGTTTGGCAGCCTGGTAGAGGATTCTAAGCAACTTTATTGAAGAAATGGTTTTTTTTCTGTGGATGCACCTTGTGGCAAGTTCATACCCACAGCAGTACCACTGAGTACCGAATCTGCTTAAATCTTAGTGCCTCGTTTTTATCATGTTACACTTGCTGGTAATCCATGTCACCTCTTCTCGAGCTCACTCTCAAGTGATGAGGAATCAGTTCAACATTTTATTTGTCTGAGGCCGTGTTTGCAAGATAGCCCTCCTTGACACCCACGTCCAAGCTGTGTGTGAAGACAGCATGGCTTTTGACACAGTGAAGTTTGTATTATTATCATTATTATTTTAGAAAAAGCAAAAACAGAACTTCTACAGTATAACTTTATTTAAAACATATTGATCTCCTTGAAACCACTGTATTCTCTCATGGGTTAAGCACTCTATGCAGTATTGAATGATTTTTTTTCTTTCTCATTTTATAATTAATATAATTTTATAATTAATGTAATATAATTTATAATTTGTATGACAGAGTTACGAAGAGAGAGGGATAGACCACAGAGAGAGTTATCCTCCATCTGCTTGTTCACCACCCTAATGGCTGCAACAACCAGGTCTGGGCCAAGCTGAAGGCGGGAGCCTGGAACTCCATCCTCAGTGGAGTGGTCCAAACACCTGGGCCATCCTCCACTGATTTCCCTGGCATATAAGCAGAGAACTGGACTAGGAGTTTGACAGCTGGGACTTCAACTGGAGCCCACAGGGGATGCTGGTGCTCTAGGCAGAAATTTAATCCTTTATACCACAGCGCTGACCCTGACTGTTTGTTTGTTCAAGCAGAATTATGTAAAACAATCACAGGTTCCGTCACATCCATCATTCCTCTGACTTTGTGATATGCCTGACATTGTATTAAATCCTACAAATAAAATCGCTAAGATGTGAACCCAGATACTTCACATCTCTGCCTCAGGTCTCTGCTCCTTAAAACCTAAGGAAGGTTGACCTGAATTCCTATTCCTCTTGATGTGAAAAATTTGATCTTTGTGATTTTATTGTAAATGCTCCAATATTTTTCTATTAATAGCACCCCACACCGCCCACTCCAATGGCTCTGATCATTTTATCTTAAATTCTTAGTCTGCAATTTGAAAATGCCTTCACAAGTATCTTTTTTTTTTAAAGATTTATTTTTATTATTTTTTTATTGGAAAGGCGGATATACAGAGAGGAGAGACAGAGAGGAAGATCTTCTGTCTGATGATTCACTCCCCAAGTGAGCGCAATGGCCAATGCTATGCCGATCCAAAGCCAAGAGCCTCTTCTGGGTCTCCCACGCGGGTGCAGGTTCCCAAAGCTTTGGGCCGTCCTTGACTGCTTTCCCGGCCCACAGGCAGGGAGCTGGAAGGGAAGCAGGGCTGCCGGGGATAGAACCGGCGCCCATATGGGATCCCGGGCGTGCAAGGTGAGGACCTTAACCTCTGCACCACCGCGCTGGGCCCTACAAGTATCTTTTTGACTTAACTGCTCCCAAAACTTCCATTGCCTTAGTAATGGTTTCCCAGTCACCAAGAAAGACAAGTAAGCTTTCATATGGCAAACTGCTTACATGGGTATTTGGGGCCTCTGGCTCCCTTTGGCAGAGCCCTGCCACTAAGCAGTCTCCCTGAAAACTCTGGCCTGTTTCTGCTGACTGATGCTGCCTTTTGTCTCTGGTTCCTTCTTTCTGCATTGGCTTCAATTCTATCAGCCCCCTATAAATTCTGTCTGCACTCTGACTAGTCTAAGATAAAGCTACCACCCTCCTACATCTTTGCAGTAGCCTTGTAACTATTCCCCCAGGCTGCTCTGAATTCTAGCAGTTAGAGTATCATTCTTTGCAAATCCATATTACTGCATGGAACTCTTCAGTGACTTGTTAGCTCCATAATGTCTCAGATCTTCACCAAAAGGTCTTTAAATGCTACAGGGTTATCACTGTCTCTTCGTTCGTGGCTATTTTCACCCTAGCAGACTGGTTCTGATTTTTCTAAAGCAGGTACAGCTTATTCCTACCTCAGGCTTTTGCATTCCTGGCTAAGTTGACAAATGCAATTGCCCTGATATCCTGTTCCTTTCAATTCTCTCTTCTAATGTCATCTTTCAGTTAAAACATTACTTGGCCACTTTTCCTTATTTTCTTTATCATAACGTTTTCCACTCTCGGGTATTCTATATATTTGTTTCTCTATCTTATTCTCTCTGGAACAGTGTTTTGCGAACTGTAGCTTGCATTGGAATGGGCTGAAGTGCTATGCCCCAGGCCCAGAGTCGCTGCAAAGTCCTGAGCTGTGACCTGGGGCTTGAGAAACTGTTTCCAACACATTTCTCTAATGCTACTGACCTGTGTGTCACACTTGCTGACCCCAAGTGCCAGAAATGTTCTGTGCAATGCAGTTGCCATTCGCCACATACCTTTTGAAACCTGGCGCAATGTGTAAAGGTTATAAATAAGAAAATTTATTTTAATATTCTCAGCAATGATTAAATTAGAAAATTAATGCATCACACATAGAAATACAAGTAAGGAATATCTAAAGGTGATATAGAGTTCAATTTTTTAAAAACCTTTTCATCATGGAACTTCAGTTTTTACAAATATGTTCATATATTTGTGCTTCACAGGTTAAAAATGTGACATAAAATGGCAATAAGAAGAAATCAGAATTACTGTTTCTTCTTTATTAGTTTACTGTATATTTCTGGCAGAGATTTAAAAGACCTTTACATTTAAGAAGAGATATTTCAAGTAAAGTTTTAATGTTTCACAATTATTAGTTGACAGTTAGAGAAGGAAGAAGCATGCTCTGTCCATTCACAGATGGTAAACAACGACTCTCCATGTTGTTGGCAATGAAAGTTCTCTCTTCTTCCACTTTAACTCCATTTGTGATGTTAATCCTTCTTTATTTACTATCAAATAGATTATCATTTCTAAATCCAGAACTGGAATATGTACCTCCAAAGGGCTGCCATCAAATAGATATTGCCCCCAAAATGTGCTTCCATGAAACTAATAAAGACATTGCAGTATGTATTTTGAAGAATGAAAGCAATTCCAGAGAAGAGTCTCTTGAAAGACTGAGCATCCTTGGTTTGTTTGTTTGTTTGTTTTTCTTTGTACATAAAGAAGTGAAGTTATAGCTATGTGAGAAGGAGAAGGGAAGTAAGGGAGCATAGGAAAACATTTCTTGATCCTATAAAGAATGGAATAGATCACAACTACCGAAAATAAGGGAGAGGTAGGAGACTGGTGTGAAAATCTATATAATGTGCTATTTCTTTTTTTTTAAAAAGATTTATTTATTTATTGGAAAGGCAGATATACAGAGCGGAGAGACAGAGAGGAAGATCTTCTGTCTGATGATTCACTCCCCAAGTGAGCTGTAACGGCCCATGCTATGCCTATCCGAAGCCAGGATATAGGAACTTCTTCCGGGTTTCCCGCATGGGTGCAGGGTCCCAAAGCTTTGGGCCGTCCTCGACCGCTTTCCCAGGCCACAGGCAGGGAGCTGGATGGGAAGTGGAGCTGCCGGGATTAGAACCAGCGCCCATATGGGATCCCAGTGCGTTCAAGGCGAGGACTTTAGCCGCTAGGCCATGCCGCTGGGCCTAATGTGCTATTTCTTAAGACCACAGTGTCAGACAACCAATTCCTCTAACTTGTACAGGAGATTATTTTTCTGGAAAAACTGAGTAAGAAAGGTGTCAGACTTGGCAACTGTACTTAGGAAGAGTACATTTGAGGTATCAAAACGAAAGATATAATGAGTAGAAAATGGCCTGTAAGCCAGTATCAAGGTAAAAATTAGAGAATCATTTTTTTGCTGATACTTGCATTTCATTGGTGGATGAGGAGGTGAGGGAGAATATGAGCATGTGGTTACACCAAGTCCTTAATCCCACACTTCACCCGTGGGAATAATGGTTTTTCAATGTCCTGTTCTTGAGTATGAACTAACAAGACCACTAAACATTTGAGGAAGTATGTGATAATAAATGTTTTCTCGGTTACTTTCTTCAGGTGGATAATGAAGACATTGTTCTTAATAGTGTGAATTAAAAACAATCTGTATCTAGAATTGGAGTTTGTTGGAAAGGGAAGCAAAAAATTGGGCAATTTTTCTGAATCTCAAGTTAGGTATGCAAATTTATATACAGATTGTCCCTGTATTAATTATTGAACAATCACTACTTGAAATCATTTGAGGCCTTTTTGTGGTTACTTTTTTTTAATTGTCTGTCACAAGAACTCAAGGACTTATTCTGCCAAGGGCTCAGAGGTAACAATAGTAGGCTGCATGAATCATACAGTCTAACTCATATCTATTGCACTGTGATATTATAACATAAAAGCTGCCTGGAATTGGACAACAAATGGGCATGACTGTCTTTCCACAAAACCTTCTTTACAAAAAAAATGACCTATAGGTCACTGTCTGCTCATGCTTGGTCTGGTCCATCTAAGGAGAGATCCTATAGGAATAGGTATGCTGTCAGACTTTGCATTGAGGTTATTAGGCTGGGAAACATTAAATGGTTTTTTTTTTTTTTTGAATGGATTGAAAACTTCTACTTCAGTCTTACGGCTTGTGTGGGCTTGCTCATGTAGATATTTGCCGTCTGCTCTGTAAAGCCAAAAAGAAAATCATTGTCTTTCCAAATGCTGCATTTTCCTAGAACTTTGAGATATAACTGGTTCTAAGTGAAGCACTGCCTCAGTTGCAAACAGTATGTTGAAGGAATGCCTGTTGAACTGAGTACCTGAAAATGCTAACGTTCACATCTTACAAAATTGATTTGTGTACTTTTATAATAAGCATTCTTCTTGTTTTACAGTAAGCCTATGATGGACTTGTTGATATTCCTCTGTGCACAGTATCACTTAAATCCATCAAGTTACACAATTGATCTGCTGTCAGCTGAAAAGAATCCCATTAAATTTAAGCCAAACACACCGATAGGAATGTTGGAGGCAGAAAAGGTGGTTTTAAAGCCAAAAGTTTTGGATAAGAAGAAACCTACACCTATAATACCAGAGGTAAGAGATTCACTGCAGATTTTGGAGTCTTATGGCTGAAATATTAAGTTTGTTTTTCATTTATCTATAACTCATAGTAAAAATGAAACAAAACTTGACTTTCTGAGCGAATTGGATGTGAATAAAGCTGTTATGTTTTCTGATGATACTTTCTTGAGGATCCAGTTGGTATTGATGCGTAACTAGACTTTAGATACGCACTTCAGACTCTAGATGCTTTAAAATGATCCATGAAGCTTCTGAAATATATTAGTGATCTGTATTTTAAGCTGCTCTTAATTTTTTTAGACTTACAGGAAAGCATTAGAATTTTAAATGAAAGTCCCTGTAAGTGTTGCTTAATGTACTTTCTTAGATTCTATATACTTGAAAAAAAAATCACTTGCAACTTAATGTCTGTATTATTAATTGATGGCATACAATGCTTTGGTTTAATGTTTGAATCTTAGCAAAATTGCAGAAATATATAGATATTAAGAAATAGGCTTTTATTATGAACACCAACCATTTTTCACTTATGAAAACATAGAAATGCTTGCATGTTAAATATATAGGTAATTTATATGACTTCTCTACACATTCTCACCTTTTCATGAAGATTTTAATCAAACATTGACAAAGTTTTAAAAACAATATTGAAATTTAATAACTTTCTGAGGGTGCATGGAGGTAAATTTTTTATTTTTATTTTTAATATTGTTTACATATTTAAGCGGGATACATGCCCATGTGGGCCTCTAATTAGAGTGGGGAGGGTCAGGTGTGAAGGAAGGTGGATGGGACAAATATTTCAGTTTTTTTTTATTTTGCTGGTTGGCTGGGGGATAGGAGAGGATTTTCCTCTCCTTTTGTCAAACTACATCCACATCCCTGGATGGGGACAGTCATTTGATGATGCCTTAGAGACCCTGATGTGGGGAAGAATGTTCTAAAGTGTTACTTGAATGTTTTTGAGATCTCTGAGACATTGTCGGCTTCATTGCACCAGAGTTGCGAAAATCTTTCCGTGGTCTACCATCTGACTAATGCCCACCTCAGTGTGCATACACAGGCAGAGACACTTACTGCAAAGCATGGCCACAAGAGTTGTCCAACCTGTTCTTTTTTCCATCCTCTGATGAGGCACTCAATGTCCTCTGCCAACCTAGATGAGCTGGCTGTCATGTCCGCTGTGTGCATCTGGGCAGGTAGTTCACCACACAGACATCAGCAACTGAGGAGGACTAGATTCCGTAGATGCACTCTAATGTCAGACCACCTATATTCTGATTTTCCCTGTGGCCAGGATTTGAATCCAGAGATCTGCTTGGGGAGAAGCCTTGCCTGGAGGGTGGCCTCAGACTTTAGAGTGTGCCAGCTTGTGCAGGGTCAGATTCAGTCCCTTACCTGCACCAGCCAACACACATACCAGTGGATTCAGCTACCTGGTCAGTTCCACCTCCAGCCCCAAATCTCACTAACTGATGGGTACTACCTACTCAGTGTGACGTGCCCCACCCCAAGCCCCACCAGGCCTACCTTCAGCCAGAGCTTTTGTGTTTGCTGGCATGTGCTGTATCCTAGCCTGGTCCAGTTCACATCTCATCAGCTTTCAGGTTCACCCATGGGTGCTGGAGCTTAGCTTAGCCCACCCTGCCTTCAGATCTACCCCACAGGCACAGGCTCACAGGCACTACCTTGAGCAATCTGTTCTGCCCCCAAGCCCTGGCACTCATGCTCACTTTCACCATCAGGAGCTGCAGCCCAGCTGGTTTTCCCACAGTCCTGGTTCCTAAACTCAGCAGTGGTAGCTACAGCCTAGCAGAGGAGTCCACCAAACTTCCCTAGCAGGCCTGTTCCCAGACCTGTTTCTCTTGCATGTACTCGTGAATACTTCAAATCAGCTTGGCATGGTCTACCTGCAGTCTCAGCTCCTGCTGGCAGGTGTTGCTCTTTAGCCCTGCCAGATGCAGCCCAAACCCTGTCCTGGCTGTCGTGCATGCTGGTGGGTGCTGGAACCTGGCCCAACCCAGCCTGTCTCCAGTCCTGGCTCACAGAAATGCCTACAAATGCTGTAGTCTGACCTGACCTGGCCTGGCCCACCCCCAGCTCAGGCTCTTGTGCTATGCAGAGGGAGCCGTTGCCTAGTAGGGAAGTTTTCCAAGTTCTCCTACCAGACCTGCTCCTAGCTTTGGATCTCAGGTGCTGTGGTTCTAAGTGACATGGTCTACTCTCAGTCCCAACTTTTGTATGTGCCAGTGGGTGTTGCAGCCTTGTCCAGCCTTCTCATCCCAGCCCCAAGCATCAGGTGGGTTCCTGTCAGGTAAATTCCAAGGTCTAGCCTAGCTTGGCCTGTCACCAGGTACTGCTGTCACGTTGAGGTGAGCCCACAAGTCCCCTACAGAATCTTCCCCCAGATGCGTTTCTCCCATGTTCTTGTAAGTGCTGCGATCCAGCCTTACATGTCCCCTGCCAACTCTGACACATTCAGTGGGCACTGCTGCCTTGCCCAGCCTCGTATGCCCTCCAGCTCGAGCTTTTGAGAGCACCAGTGGATGGTGGTTCATGCTCTTTAGCCCATCCTGGGTCTCCCACATGGGAGGGTGCCTTGCCCTGACCTAGATATGCTCTCCAGTCTTTCTGCTCTAATTCACCCTGTCTCTGTGGGAGCCCCTGGAAGTCATTCCTGCCCTGTCAAACATGCCCTTAACTGCTCCCACTCCAACATGTCTGCAGATTCCCTTTCCCAGGCAGTTTACCATGCCCCTGCTTGGGGGCCAGAGTGGTGTGTCCCAGCCCAATATTCCCTGTCTTACCCACCACACAGCTTAAAAATAATAATAATAAAGGAGGAAGAATAGGCAACTATGCTGGTACTGGTATAGTTAACACAAAGTTGGCATTATGTTAGCCCAGAGTGCCTGCCATCTTTTGGCTGCTTTTCTCCCAGCAATGGAACACTTTCCTAGGTACAAGGCAACCTAGAGAGGAGCCTACAATTGCTGAATGACTTTCTGTAATATAGGATTGAATATTAAATATTAGCCTATTAGGCTGCTTTCTGTATAGGCATATCATTATTGCATGTTCACATTGTTTATCTACTTGCAAATAGCTTTATTTTGTTGTGAAATGAGATTTTCATTTTGGGAGCAAATGTCTGAAAATCTACAAACTGTAGAGTTTACTTAGCATGAGCCCATGTAGTTGAGTTTCATTTGACTCAAAATTTAATCAGTTATATCAAAATGATTAGATGCTTCAAATCTGGCAGTTATTTTGAATTATTTGCAGATACCTGAATAAAGAACATGTAATGATTTTACTGATATTTTAAATGACACCATAATTATCATAAAAACAGCCATAAAGAATAGTTATAATAGCTAATATTCATTTACTGATTAAGCACTATGACCAGTTACCAAATCTATTTTCATGGATGATCTTACTGCATCTTGAATTGAGAAGAACACAGAAATATTAGTGGTTAAAAAAAAACTCCCTCTCTAATTTCAGTGATTTACAAACCATGTGAGAGAGAACATGTGTGATTCTGTATTGTTATTTAGTAATTATGAAGTAAATGTTTCGAGGAATGAAATACTAAGTTTTGGGCCCGGGGCAGCAGACTAGCAGCTAAAGTCCTTACCTTGTTCACACTGGGATTCCATATGGGCACCGGTTCTAATCCCCGCAGACCCACTTCCCATCCAGTTCCCTGCTTGTGGCCTGGGAAGGCAGTAAAGAGCCCAAAGCCTTGGGACACTTTCTCTATGTAGGAGACCCAGAAGAAGCTCTAGGCTCCTGCCTTCGAATTGGCTCGACTCTGGCCATTGCGGCCACTTGGGGAGTGATTCATCAGATCGAAGATCTTCCTCTCTGTCTCTCCTCCTCACTGTAAATCTGACTTTCCAATAAAAAAAAATAAAGTTTAATTTAAAAATACTGAGTCTTTTTCCCTTTTGGACTGACATCTACATAATATTTTCCTATACTAACATTGTGAATTTAACCTGGATTGTCTTATCAGCAAACTCATATTTATTTCTAAGAATCTGCTTTGGACTTATGAAACACGAAGAAGAAGAGAACTTCACCAAAAATAGAACATTACTGTTTATGATATGAATACTTAATTGTATATTGCTTCATTGTTGAAAATGTCATAGTAGTAAATCAAGGTGACCGTATGGCTCTATTGTGTTTCAGAAAACTGTGAGAGTAGTCATCAATTTTAAAAAAACCCAGAAGGCAATAGTGAGAGTGAACCCGCATGCGCCGCTCCAGGAGCTCACCCCTATCATCTGTAGCAAGTGTGACTTTGATCCATCACACACACTGTTGCTCAAAGATTACCAGTCTCAGGAGCCTCTCGACTTAACAAGATCTCTCAATGACCTGGGACTAAGAGAATTATATGCCATGGACATCAGCAGAGGTAAGTGAGGTCTGTTGATTCATTTACCAGGATGTATAAATGGGCATTGTTCTTACACAGAGGTGTTCTCAAGTTCAAGATGGAAAGTCCATGAATCCTACTGAGAGAAGTAAATATATATATATATAGAGAGAAGAGAAAAAAATTACAAATCAAGTTAAATTCAGTGATTGAAATTAGAATGAAAACATGTCTTTTTAGCTTTCATCTAGATTTTATGGTTTTCTGCCCACAGGTTTTTTTAGTGACATTTAAATTCTTTATGACTTTGAGGTTTGACAGAAACTAAGTTTTTATGCATAAATTCATTGTTCTTTTTAGGGGTAAGTTACTACAGATTCACTGTAGTTTCATCTGAGTCAATTATTTAAGTTTGAATGTTGCTTGCCAAATTTCTGTAAAAGGTTAGCCCCAAAGTAAACTGGCGTATGAAATTGATCTAACTCCCAAAATTTGTAAAATAGCTTGCAGTATTCATCTACAGAAATATTAAATTTTGGTGATCTTAGATAATGTTGATTTATATGATCTCATAAAATATGCAAATGTGTTGATTTAATATAAATCTCTTTTGCTGAAAGAAGTGAAAGTTTGGTGAAGGGGACAGTTACATATTCAGTGCTTCGAAAGCTGGAGTTGTTTTTCACAGGTTGTGGTATTTTGTAATCTGTAGACTACATCAGCAATGTCTTTACAGTCCATTTACCCTCTTTTACCCCCTCCTTCTGTAGCTGCTTCTGCTACTGCCTTCAATAAATCATCTTTACAAGGTAAGATGTACATTAATACAAAGAAATTATAGCATAAAATTGGGTAAATCACAAAAATAAGCATCTACTTTAACCTGTTTTGTTTTTTAACGTTACTAATCCATATGTCCTGTAAGAAATTTTAGCTTAGAAAAACTGGTTTTAATTTCCTTAATTTGTAGGCCCTCCTCTCGTTTTCTGAATTGAATTAAAATAATTTTATTTCAGTAAATGTTTAAAAAAACCATATGATCCTGAGATCATAGCAAAGCTGTATTTTTCTCAAGCAAGAAAAATGACTTTGTTGAAATCTTTATTTGGTAGATGTTCCACATGGTGTGGAAGGATATCGAATTTTCATCCAATGATTATGCAGAATGGTGATGACATGTTCATCACAAGGAAGCTTTGCAGCCCTGAACTCAAGAACATTCTGTAGCGTCATGGAAAACGCTTATGCTAACACCAACTTTTAAAGCGTAATAATGTGTTTAATATAGTATGTGGAAAAACATCTTCTGTGTAATAATCTGGGAAGAAATAGGAGAGGGGTTCAGAAAGTTCAAGCAAAATGAACATTTCATTTGAATCTCATTTTTAATGAACTTATATGTAAAAACTTAATATATAAAACCTTTAAAGAACTTACATATGAAAGCATATATAAAAACCTTTGGAAACTAACAGTGAAAGTAACTTTCCCATATTTATATGATGAAATTCTATAACGGTCATTATTGCTTTCATGTAGAAAAGCTTTATTAAGATTTTTGATAATAAAGTCTAAAACTTTTCCTTTTGAAAAAGGATGTGTTCAGATAATTGATTACAGTAATAATTACTGTCCTACTTTAAATAAAAACTTTAGTAAACTTTACAAATATATATATATATTATACATTTTTGGAATCCTGTCTTTGCTAGTTTTTGAACCTTATTGATACACTGCATTCCGAAACTTAAACCTGCATAAATTTAAATAGCATGATTCTCTATAATCAGTGGCTAGCATAAAAATTGCCAAATGAAGAAAGTTGAAAATTTTTATGATCTCAATGTGGATCCTAGCTACAAAACAGAAGAGGCATTTTAATTTTTTGGTTTAAAAATTGATTTGATTGGTTATAGAAAGAAAGGGAGGCAGGAAGAGAGAAGAGAGAGATAATACTCCATTGCTGATTCACTCTCCAAATGGCCCTGAGGGCTGGAGATGGACTGGTTAGAAACCAGGTATAAGGACCTTTTTCTGGGTCTCCCATGAGATTACAGGGCCCCAAGCACTTGGATCATCTTCTGCCACTTTCCTAGGTACATTATCAGGGAGCTAGATTGGAAACAGAGCAGCTAGGAGAAGAAACAGCTGGCTGCTTTACCTGTTGTGGCACAGTGCTGAGCCCCAGAAAGGCATTCCAACTTTTCTATTTCTTCTTCCTGTATCTGGTGGAAGGAGGAGATAAGGGAAGAAGCCACACCCAGCCATCCAATAACCTCAGTACCGGGGTTGGGGAATGAACACCCAGTATTAACCCAGGGTCATGACTGTGGCACATGCTTTGAGGATTCTGCCCATGTGGTTTCTATAGTTCTGAAATGTTGGTCTTACTGATCCAAGGACACTATTTTTTTATTGATTACATTGCATTATGTGACACAGTTTTGTAGCACTGGGATTTCCCTTCCCCCGGTGGATTCCTCCATGTTGTTGCATTACCACAGTCCAAATTCAGTTGAGATTCTTTCATTGCAAGCATCTACCAAGTATAAAGTCCAGCATCTTATTGTCCAGATAAGTTCATTCGTTTCTTGGGGAGACCATTTCTGGTCTGAAGGTAGAGCCAGCAGAGTATCATCCCGATCATTAAAAGCCCCGACATTACATCAGTAACATCTTATAATGTTATGGAATTAGTTGACATGGTATTGAGTAACCAATATGTTAAAAGAGAGAGGAAAAAAAAGAATGCAAGTTCTGAACCACATCCTGTAACTTCTACATTGAGATTTCAATTATTAGTTTATATATAACTGGTTTCTATACACCTTAAAATGGCTATGGATTACTATTCAGCTGTCTCATGTCTATTTTAATTTTAGTATTTAGCAGTTTATAGCGTTGAAGCATGATTTTGCTGAACCTGGCTGTTTTTCAGGTAGTCTAACTCTATAACAAGACATGTCAACAGTTTAGATGAACAGTTTTAGGAGGGGTGTGCAGAGAAATCTTCAATACCCTAGTGAGGAGTAACTAATCTTTGTCTCCCACCTAGTGAGATATAAGTGCATCCCTACTGACAGTTTCCTTTCTGTTTCTAAGCTTTCCTTGTTGTTCTCTGTCTGTTCTAGTTTTTTTTTTGTTTGTTTATTTGTTTGTTTGTCAGTTTTGAGGGGTTTCTGGAGCGATGCTGATGATCATTGCCAGTGAAGGTTGGGACCCAAAGTCGGAACCAGACAAGGACCAGAGAAAGCTCCTCTTCCTAGTTCCGAAGGAAGTTTACTGTCCTTCTGTTTCTGCGGACCGCTCAGTGCTCCTGGTGGTCGTTCCGATGACCTTGGATCCTGCAGGGCAGGATTTGGGCTTCTTGCATCCCAAGTGTTAGATCCAAATGGGGGTGGGTAACCTCAGAGTTCTTGGCCTCTGAAGGCACACCATTTCCCCGTGGCCAAGGACACTTTCAATGTCCATTGGCTGACATAGTCAACCTTAAAGTCTCCATTCACTTTTGGACTCATTCAGAGTATTAAATGCTTTGATTTCTAATATCTCATCCATTCATGGAGCTGTGTGTTTTATTGAGGCTTTTATGTTGTGAGCTATAGAGAATGGAATAATAAAATTAAGGAGTGTCTTTCACAGCATCAGCATCCAAAAGGTCATTCCAAGTACTATCATAGAGTAACTCCTCTTAGCCCCCCTACTTTTCTGGTATCAGAGAACATTGCATGCAGTTGCTTCTAGCCTCTCTTTTAGAAATAGGAAATACGATGTTTGAGTTGCTCTTCTAAGTAAGCCTTTGCTGTCTCAGACTGAACTCTGGTTTGTAGTAATTCCCAGTTAGAGCTGGGTGCAGATTTAGAAGTTAACTAGTGTGAGTGTTGTGGCGGTGGCCTTTGCTAGGTTTTGTCCAGCTTCTTGTGGATTCTTTGTGTGAGAAAGAATCCAGCGAAGAGACACAGATAAAGGTCAGCAGAAAAGTAAGATATTTATAAACAATGGGTCTCCCGAGTGTACCCAAGGACTTGGACCATCTTCTGCTATTTTTCCAGGCCATAATCAGGGAGCTGGGTGGGAAATGGAGCAACTGGAATACAAACCTGTACCCAAATGGGACCCTGATGCTGCAGCCAGATACTTAGCCTACTGTATCATGACACAAGCCCCTACACACTTACTTTAAGTGAAAGCAATAAGAACATGTATTTATTCCAAAATTAGAATTTGTCAGATGTTGACACACAGTGCTTTGTTTCCAGTGTCATTGAAGTTACATAATTTGCCATAAAGCCCATGTTTCTCTGCAGAAGAAAAATTTCTCTGCAAAGAAAAATTTACATTTTTTTAAATTTTAAGAAGCCACATCATTTGTCTTAGAGTTATCACAGCAGTAATTTTGTTAATTGCATCCCGTGGTGTCACTTAACATGTTTCTTCCCCGCCCCCTTTATTTCCTGTAAATTGATTGTTTGAGAGACTTGATCAGGTCTCTAGGTGAGATGTTTTGCAAGAATACATTATAGGTGTGTTATGTATTCCCAGATTTTTTTTCTGATGTTAGCCCTCTATTGTCATTGTATCTTGTTCATTATGAGTCAGAAATGGGTGCTATTTTGATGCAATATTTTTTTACTTATTAGCTGAGATGTTCCCCCCCAAAAAAATGGAAACCTCCCAATTTCAGCCATTTGACTGTCAAGATGGAATTGAATCATAATAACTATAATAGAAGCATGTGTGTGTGTGTGTGTGTGTATGAGAGAGAGAGATTTAGTTACAGAGAGAGGAGAAAGATGTTTCATCTGCTGTTTGATTGCACAGATGGCTTCAGTGGCCAGGGTGGGGCCAAGCTTGAGTCAAGGAGCTACTTCTGGGTCTCGTGTGGGTGCTGGTACTTAAGGACTTGGCCCATACTACACTACTTTCTCAGGTACATTAGCAGGCTGCTGGATCAGAAGTGGAATAACTAAAACTTAAACAGGTACTGATTTGCATTGCCAGCACTGCTGACAGAGTCTTTACGTACTTTGCCACAGTACCAGCCCCCTGAATTATTCTAATGATGCCCAAAGTGTCCTGCTTTCTTGTTAATAAGAACTATATCAGGCTAGGTCCTGTATCCTTCAAGCATGACTCCAAGGGTCTTGGATGGCTTGCTCTCTGCTGTATCTAGGAGTTCCAAATTCATCTTGTGTGTTCCTTGACCCAACAAAGATTCAACCATTCTCAAGCACTCATGGTTCCTAATACTGAGAAATGCAGTCTGGGCCGTGGCAGCTTTGCTCTATTGGATTGTCAGTCTATAGGCCCGTTCAGTTGACACTGAATACTTTCTGCGGAATTTTAAAGAAATACTGCACGTGCAGCCTCAGTGTTTTTGCATTTATTATTCTGCTTGAAGTGAGGCTTCTCATCGAAGGTGCCAAGAATTCTTGGGTAAGGAGGACTGTCGTAAGTGCAGAACTGGCCTACACCATCAGTAGCCTTTACCCCTAGATGCCACAGCAGATCCTCCCAAACTCATCCCCAGTCTTGACGGTGAAGATGTTCCCAAGACACTGTCAGATGTCCTCGTGAAGAACAGTAGATTAAAGAGGCAACGTGTTTGAAGCATTTTACAAAGAGCTAGATACAGTCTTCACTTTAGGACTGTAGGAAGCTGTCTAGGAACCCCCACGGTTTAAATATTGTACAGATACTCAATAGCCAGTGAGTATTCACCCGTGTGTTTTCTACCATCTCTAGATTATTATAATATCTGATAATATTCACATGATATGTACATAGCTGTTATACTCTATTGCAGGGATGGGGAAGTATTTTCTGCCAAGGCCCATTTAGATGTCCATATCAGTACTCACAGCCCTTACAAGATTACCAACTTAAAATTAGCGTGTTGTATTGTAGAGTTACAGATTTTCGAATCCTGCCTGTGGTTGCCTTGGTAGGATCAGACCAAAGGATTTCACAGGAAGACCTTACATGATACACAACAGGCCAGACATTGCCCCCACCCCTGGAGGGAATGACAACAGAGGCCTGTGTGTGGTGATTACAGATGCAATTGCTTTTTCAAATGCCAAGGATGGTCGAATCTAAAAATGAGAAACACAGATGTAGGAGACAAACAAAATATAACTGACATTTAAAAAAAAATTCATGATAGTAAAGGCTGAAATTACATTAATCAGACAAAGGGACAAACAGTATGGCAGCAGCTTCATAACATGGAATTTGAAACAAGCCTTTTACTTCTGTCCTTGAAGTGTTGGTAATTATGTGCAAGACACAGACTCGGTTACGGTGCATTGAGTTCATTATCTTTGCTTTGTCATTTTCTGGTTGTTGCTCCTGTGTGTATCTTAGTCTTCTGCTGTGAAATTGGAACAGTATCTGCTTGTTACTTTGAGAATTTAATAAGATTTAAGGTGCCTGGCTTCTAACTCACTTTAGTTAGACCCTTTAATCACTAAGTGTTTCCTTAAAGGGAAGGCAGTGTAAGAAAACCTCAGGAGTGAGCATTCATCCCCATTTGTGAAGTAATATGTTATTCTATTTTAGAGTCCTGCCAAATACCACAAAACCTGGACTTCATGAAGGAGAAGGAAAATAAGGGGTTTTTCAGTTTTTTCCAACGCAGCAAGAAGAAGCGAGAGCAAGTAAGTATTCTCTTCTGAAGCATTTGCAAGAGTCTTCAAATCCTGTTTCAAATTGTGTTTTGTAATCTTCAAATCACACGTAATTATTACCTCTCAATTCTTCCCTTAGACTGCAAGTGCCCCGGCCACCCCTCTGATAAATAAACACCGCCCAACTTTTGCAAGGTCCAACACCATTTCCAAGCCATACATCTCAAACACGCTGCCTTCAGAGGCACCCAAGAAGAGGCGGGCTCCGTTGCCACCCATGCCAGCATCTCAGAGCGAGCCGCACGACCTGGCACGCATCCAGGAGAGGCCAGCTTCCCGCATGGTGAAGTCCACGAGTGTGGATGAAAATGATAAGGTGTGTAGCGGTGCTGTCGTTCGAGGATGGGGAATATCTGGTGTATTCTGTTTTCCCACTTGTGACTTTTTTTAACAGAAAATCCATAGAAGGTTAGTAGTGGTTACAGGGTTTAATAGGAGGAATAAGTAATTGCTAATGGAATTGGGATTGGAAGAGTCTTTCTGTTTGAACATTTCTCTGATGCAGTACAAAAGAAGTGTCTATTTTAAGTAGCTTTTATATTCAAGCAAATCCTATATCTGTATATGTCAAGGCCTGTTTTACTGAAGCTCATCCTGGAGAACTTGATGCATAAATTTGGAAACGGTCATACTGAAAGCTTTTTTATTAACTTTCCTTATATTTGAAAGACAAAGGGGAGGGGAAAGAATAGAAAAAGAGAATGACTTTTGTCCTATGGTTCAGTCCCCAAGCACTCAAAACACTGAGGCTGGGCCACACTCAAGGCAGGAGCCTGGAACTCCTTGGGGCCCATGTGGCCGTAAGGGACCACGCAGTGCTTAGGTTTTGAACAATTTTCCAAAAACCAGTTCAGTCTTTATGCTGTGTTCATAGATTTCTAAATGCATGTATTTTCCCCTGCATGAGTTTCTTTGGGGAGAATCCTGTTGTCTGGTATACAAATAATGTCCAATTAAAAAAATACTTTTGCACACAGTGAATTATATTTACTTACCATGTTCAAAGCATTGTTCTAGCTGGGTCTTTGTCTTAGAGTTGTTGTTACTCCCCTTTAATGCCAGATTTTTCTGAGTATACCATTTATAGGGATCCAATTGCCAAGTACTTTCATGGCTACACAAAGTGTACATTTCTTGCTTTACTCTTGTAGAATATAAATGCTTTTGAAAATAAATGTGATTGAACCTGAGACCATATAAACATTTTGTAATGTTTGGAACACCAATAATATTTTTAAAATTTAGTTGAAGAATTAAATTTTCCTCTTTGAAACTTGGAAAGTCAATGCTCCAGTGGATTAATAATTACTGTTAGCTATGATTAATAGGATGGCCACTGAGAGTTACCTGGAAAGTCATCTACTGAATTGTCTTAATTCTAAGATTTTCTTGTCTATGATATTAAACTCATCTCAAAAATCAGGAAGATCTTTTTTCAGATGCTAAAAGCATCAGTCTTGTCCCCATATAAGTTATTAGGCATTTCCTGTTTACACTCTCAGATGTGAAGATTCTGTGCATCTGGGCACAGGCAGGAAACAGAGACCAGACTAAGTGAAGGAGGCAGGGCCGAGTCAGAGGTCCAAACCTTCCATCCTTGTAGCTCTGTTACAGCCTTCCTCCTGTCGGTTACATGTTCACAGTTGTTGGATATTCCTAAGTACTGTAAAATGTTTTAGGAGTATTCCTTCACGGTGTAAAATACCATTTCCAGAAGTGTTATATATTCTTAAGCACTGCAAAACTATGTTTTAAGAATAGAAATTATTATGTTCTTGAGTAACTACCAAAAGGACTTGTTTTTCTTTGTGTAGAGAGAACTCTTGGCCCCTGCTCACGACTGTGTAACCCAGCTGTCCTCATGCAGTCTTTTGCAGTGAGCTTGCTCTGTGCTCTGGGCCCTGGAGCTTTCCTCTGTCTGTTCGGTAGTCTGCTGTGCTCCCAGTGACCTCACTGAGAGCTGCTGCTTTGGGTTCTTACCCTCTGTGCTGTGACCAGCTGGTGCCCCGTGTGTGAAGGAATCCTCTTTCCTTCATTCTTTTCTTTTTTAAATATGTTGCCTTTGGCAAACTACACATCTTAATAGAATTTTGCTAATTATGGTTTCCTTTTGATCTGGACATCTGGATGGTTCTTTGATGTATTGTGCAGTGAGACCCAGAATTACTTGTTTTTCCTGAGAAAAGATGAAAAACTTTAAAAAGATTGATTTATTTTTATTTAAAAATCAGATCTACTAAGAGAAGGACAGACAGAAGGATCTTCTGTCCACTGGTTCACTCCCTAAGTGGCCACAATGACCCGAGTTGAGCAGATCTGAAGCCAGAAACAAGGAGCTTCTTCTGGGTCTCCCATGTGGGTGCAGGGTTCCAAAGATTTGGACCATCCTCAACTGCATTCCCAGACCACAAGTAGGGAGCTGGATGGGAAGTGGAGTTACCGGGACCTTAACCAACACCCATATGGGATCCCAGGCATGCAAGGTGAGAATTTAGCCAACAGGCTATGGCGCCAGACCCAAAGAACATTTTTTTAAATTATTCATTACAAAAATTCTTAATTATGACTGTGGTTAACTGTGTGTGTGTGTGTGTGTGTGCATCACGTGACAGTCTGGGCATCCCAGCTTGAATTTCCTTAAGGGTTTAGTCGTGTTTGATCAGCCACCCTTGGTGTTGTTTTATCTTCTTTTTAGTCTAGAGATAGTTCTTATTGCCCCTTTTGGTTTTGGAATCTTGGGTTTTTTGTGGTTGGTTGTTTTTGCATGATACCACTTCCTTTGTCTGGTCTTGGCAGTAGCTGAAACCAAGGTGTTTTCCCGTATTTCCTACAGTCTGTCTGAGAACACATCTATTCTGTATTGAGTTCCTGAACTCTCAAAATGCTTGTAAGTCCTAGCCCCAAAGATCAGTGAAAGTGACCTTCTTAGAAAGTGTTTGACACACAAGGCAAGGAAATGGAGATGAGATCGTCTTAGCTTTCAGTTGGACCCCAACCCAGTGGCTGGTGTCCTTATAGGAAAAGGAAACGCAGAAGAGAAGGATCGGTGTGGATGGGATGGTGACATAGAGAGCAAAAGCACAAAGAAAGATATTCCCTAAGCATTTATAGAAGAGCTGGATCTGTTGAAATTGTATGGCTAAACAATAATGTGTTAGTTACATATGAGAAATTGTAGTTCATTCTTGAATTGAAATTGTTAGTATAATCAGATGTAGATACTGAGCAAATTATGCAAAACAGATTTTTTGGGTGAATTTTACTGCTTAGTTGTTTTAAACTGAAAAATCAGAGATAGTTATTGTAAACATATTATAGCTGATTGAAAACTTTTTGATTTTAAAATTTCAGAAAGTTAATTACTTAGTGATCTAAATGAGATTTTATTGAGAAAAATATAAGTAACGTAAAAGTCTGACCAAATAACTGTGTAAGGACATGAATAACTGTGTATATGCTTTTATCCCTTTAATTTCTGTTTGCTTTTGAGGAATATTTTTTTATTGATTTTAAATTTACAAAACACAAATTATGAAGTTGTAATGCAAAAGTGGACCACAAGGGTGCACTGTTTAACAGATGTACAGCAGTCTGATTTTTCAATTTTTTTCCCCCAAAGCTTCTGTCAATTAAGCAGAAATAAATTTTTGGAGGTATATTCAATATATTAAAGTAGAAAATGTTTAATTCTTATAGGCAAGGTTATATAGAGCTGACAACATAAATATCAGCGGTACATGACTAATTTATACAAAAAGCAGTTTTCCTCATTTTGAACTTTTGATTTTCTTTCAGATATTCTTTTAAGGACATAGTGATCTGTTTGTCTTAGTCAAGGCATACTGATAAGTGACTTCATCTGGAATTTGATACTGTCTGGCAGTCCCCATTTAATAACTTGCCTCGTTCCTCTGAGACATTTCCTAATGCCAGCACATTAAAATATTTGGGTAGTGATTTTTGAGCTTGTTCTGGAAATAGTTTTAATAAGGTTCTTGATTTTCTGACTTAGTTGTGCAGTTTCAAGAGTGGTTTCAATAAGACCCAAGCTAGGGACTGGTGCTGTGGTATTTTAATATCCTGGAGCTGGCCTTGGGTATAGCTGGGGAAGTCTCCATCTGTGATACTTGCTTCAAGTCCCTGCTGATTCTGCTTTCTCATTTAACTCCTTGCAAATGTGCCTGAGTGTGCAGCAGAGGAAGGCCCAAGGGCTCAGGCACCTGCACCTGCTCAGGAGACCTGAGCGAAGTTGCTGGCTACTGGCTTTAGCTCTGCCCTAGACTGGCTGTTGAGGCAGTTTAGGGAGTGAGCCAGCAGATAGTAGATCTCAATTTTGGTCTCTCTCTCCCATCCATCTCCCTTTGTCCATCTCCCCCCTCCATATAACTCTGATTTGTAAGTAAGTAAATATTTTTCTGCAATTTTTTGGTAGGTTTCATTTGAAAGTGTTCCAATAGAAAATATTCTGGAAGTTGTTCTCGGTACCTCTTAGGCATTTTGAGAACAAGATACTTGCTGATGACTTACAGCATCACACAACGAGATACGTTAAGTCAGGTCATCTTGTGATTAACATGCATTACTATATAGCATATAAGTAATTATTCACCATAAGACTGTCATTTTGAAGCAGAAAGTAGGAGGTGAAATGGTATTGACATAAAACTAAAAGTGATGTACAATTCTGAAGTCGAAGCTAAGTCCTTCAGCGTACATTGTGCACTGTGGCTGCTGACCACTGACCATTGTGCTCTATGGAGAGCACATTTAGTCAGAAGCCAAAGGACATTAGTCGTGGTGACCAAGAAGCCTCTTGAGTCTGTTCTGCATTTCAGCAAGAGGAAGGAGAATTGGATAACAGTTATGGGAGATCTTGACCACAGAACTAAACAGAAAGCTGTTTGGAAAATTTGACAGTTGGCTCGTCGGAGTGGCCTTGCTTCTTGGAATCGTGTGAGACAGCATCATGTCACTCTTCCCCTGGCTCATAGCGTGGCACATTATTTCCTTTAGGGCATCAGATTGCAGCTGAAAACACATTCCGGTGAGGAATGTTTCCTCGGTCTGATTTTGCATCCTGCTGCAGACAAGCACTCAAATGTTGAGAAATCGCAATATTTTTGCCATCTGGTATTATGCAAGTGAAATTTAATATCAAAAGTATAATATCTGGCTGATTTTTTTAAAAAAAAGTTTTACATTTTTGACTTTTTATCCAATTTTTTGCATATATTATGGTTTATGTATTGTGGTTTACAAGCAGATGATTTATTGGCATGTTTATGACATTTGCAAATAAATGTTCTTATTTTTACATAATGTGGTTTAAACCTAGTTACTTCATACAGAATAATTAAGATTATATTGCTATTTTATTATGTACACATGTGTGTATGTATAAATACATATACATATAAACACACACTTCTTTTTAGTTTTTTATTCAGATTGTTTTGCATAGTATTTATTTTCCATTCCACTCTCTTATTATAATATAGAAAGTGGACCGCATACACATAGAATTCTACAATTGCCTAGAAACAGTGGTTACCATGGCATTTTTAGTTGATATACAGAATACAGCTATCTGTATTTCCAAAAATATGACTGCTTTCATTCAGTGGAGAAATGTACCAGCACAATATAATATTAAATATGCTTTTCTGTTTAAGGCCTTCCCAGCTAAAGTGCATACTTAGCATTATAGTTGTCATCATATTTACAAAGGATCATATTTACGCTAGCAAAAGCAGTGGAGTGAATGCTGCATTTTATGTTTTTGTTCTAGGTGGGAGTTCTAAGCATATTACTTCTTTATTCTTTATATAAATCTTCTCCATTATGTTTTAGATTTTTTAAAAGATGAATTTATTTACCTTGAAAGGCAGAGTTAGGGAGAAGTATAGAGATCTTTTGCCTTCTGATTCACTGCTGAAATGACTCCAATGGCCGGAGCAGGCCGAATGGAAGCCAAAAGCTTCAGCCAGGCCTCTCCGGTGTGCAGGAGCCCGTGCTCTTCGTCTAGCTTAGACTGCTTTCCCAGGCATGTGAGCAGGGAGCTGGATCAGAAGTGGAGCAGCTAGGGCTTAAACCAACACCCATGTGGGATGCTGGCGTTTCAGGCCATGATGGAACTTGCTGTACCACAATTTGGATACCCATGTTTTAGATTCCTGACGATTTTACCTCCTATCAAAGAACTGTGTTCACTCTAAAGTTGTTAAATTTCAAAGCAAAACAAAGTTCTAAGAACAGTTGGTCATTTGTGGAATTAACGTGAATTTCCCTTCTTATCTGTACCTTTCTGAAGCTGCATTCAAAATTAATACAGCAGCATTGATAATAGTGCTGGGAGACTTCCTGCCCCAGAGCTCATTGTGTGCAGTGAGCTTAGCCTCCTTCCCACCGTGATGCTTGGAATGTCATGGTGACAGATGGGGTTATAGAGGCCAGGGAAGCGTGTGAGCCTCTCCTAGAGCCATAGTGATAAGCATACAGTGTCACTGTGATAAAGCCTGCCAAACAACCTTTGACCCTGTCTGGGATGAAGTGAGTTGGCCTCTGTTTCTTTCCTTGATTGCTGCTTTGGTCCTGGGCTAAATTAACCTCAATGTATTGAGTTTGTTAAGCAGAGTATACAAATGTTACCATTGACTAATAATGATTTTTAAATGTTACCATTGACTAATAATGATTTTTAAATGGAATGAATTAGAAATACAGTTCTGAAGTTGAACACTCAGAATCCTGTGAGTAGGTTTAATTTTAGTGGGGTCCTAAAAAGGTACAAGCTAATGGTGGTGGTGATATTTAGGACACCTGTAGTGAAACCAGTTCTCCTTGCTTCCTCTCATAGTATTTCTTGCAGTAGATTAACAGCAGCAGAGCTAGGCAGAGCAGACGACTGCTTCTATAGAGCGACTGAGAAGCTCCATGCCCCGGTACTACCATCCCACTTTCCCTTCCCCTAATTATAGGTGTCTGGTACGTGACACCCAACTTCTGTATTTCACATTCTTTCACTTTGATGTGAAAGAATTATTCTTAGATGAAGTTGACCTAGATAACCAAAGTCTTTCAGTATATCAATGAAAATCTTAAGTCAGGTTTCTACAGAGAATAAGAAAATAGAATATATAAGTCCCAGATTTTTCAGAAATGTGGAGAAATTGCCCCACAAAGAGAAAAAGTACCATTATTACAACAAGGAGACTCAGAGCATGAGAAATAAGCTTCCATGGTCCCATTAAAAGATAGCATTTTACTTTTAAAACTCCATAGCAGCTAACTTACTTTTATTGTCTAAGCTATAAAATGCTTTAAATAGTCCTCCATCAAAGGTAAAACCTTTATCTTCGCATCACAAAAATTTTAGTCATTGAAACATAATTCATAGTTATAATAAATTTGAGTAAACATCATATCAAGTTTAAGATGAAGTAGGGAGGAAGAAGGAGCTGAGGAGGAACGGAGGGAGAGAGAGAGAAAAAGAAGAGCAGGAGAGGGAGGGAGGCAAGGAAAAGGAGAGTTATCTGTCATCTCCTGGTTAACTCAACAAATCCCTGCATCTGTCAAGGCTGGGCCAGCCAGGAGCCAGGAGCTCCTGGGAGACAGGAATCCAAGTCCTGGGCCATCCCGTGCTGCCTCCCAGAGGCAGGCATCCCACAGAACAGCATGGCCCCTGCACCCTAACACTCACTCTTAAAAAAAAATGGTGAAGGATTCTTTATGTTCTGTCACTAACCTCACCCTTCTACACTTGTACAAAACACATTTTAACCAGAAGTGACTCCAAGATTTCTAATAGAAACATTTCACCACATTCTTGAGGTTGTATATTCTGTTCATACCCATTAATGCAGTTTTATCTTATTTTTCTTTTTGTATTTCATTCTTTTATGCAAGATGTTGATTTCAGTGCCTAATGTCTTGATACTCATTCGTGATTAAAAAGTGGTCCACTGATTAATACAGAACTGGAGCTCTGATTCTGTTGAATGCCATTTCATTGCATTTGCTTGAGCCAGTGCATTCGGATGTGAGCGGGAGTTCTCCGGATCAGATCTCCCTGGAGTGACTTTAAGCTGGCCTTGTCTCTTTGGTTTGTGTATTCTGGTTTTCCTTGTCCTATTTCCCTTTCACAGACCATAAAATTTGGCGATGTGCATTCCTGTTAGAGAAGCAAGTTTCTCTGTTTGCAGGTCGACTTATCAGTGATTGACTGAACTAAAGCAAATCATTGAATATCTCTAATGATTAAACCAAAGCAATGTCTCCTATTAACTAGAGACTGTTTTTTATCATTTTGTGAAAAATAATTTTAGCTCAAACTCTACTGAAAAACATGTTATACACTTGATCTTAGCCAAAAGGCCGAGAAGTGATAAAAAACATATTGTAAAAAAGAAATTGCATCTAGGTGATAAAGCTAAAAGGGGTTAGGAGGGGACCTTTAGTTGTAATTCTCCTGAAATTTACTGAAGAACTGTTTAATTTTATATACAATAATTAAAATGTTTGCTCATCACCAAATTTAATAGACTGGCCTTATAGTAAAACTCTTTAGGTTTGATGAAGTGACCTGAGGTGACATACTTGTAGAGGACTTTAGACACACAACAAAATTCTGCAGTGGACTAAGAAGTTCCTGACCTTTAGATACTGATATGGTGTAAGACTGGTTATGTTGAGATTAATTCCAATAGAATCCCCAGCATCACTGTCACCAAAGACAAAATATAGTCTTAAATACTTCCCTTTAGACATTCTTTTAATTTTAGCATAAGGAATTCTCATTTTCTTATTTTTATTTATAGAAAACTTTCACATTATTTAGCAGGTTTATTACCTGTAATAATGCCGGCAGGTTTCTATGGAGTATAACAGTATGCTGGATGCTGTGTTCAGTGCTTTCCCCTCCTTCTAAGGACATCCCTGGTTCTCCTTTCATACATGAAGAGGCAGAGGTTAAAGACAACAAATGACTTGTGTCTTGGGCCAATCTTTTTGTGTTGAACAGAATGTCCATTTCATTGCTAACTGTCATGGCAGGCTGCCTTCCAACTTACAAACCTTCCAAAAGCCTCTTGGCAAATAACGCAAATTCATATTCAAAAGCACTGGGTAGTTTAATTTCAGAATCTATTCGAAGACTCTTGGGAGGAATGTATGTATGAAGGGTGCATACACTCCCACACGAAGTTGAAGAATGTTGCTGTTTTGGCATCACTGGCCTCTCCAGTGTTTCTTATTTTTAAATATTCTGAATGGGCAAGTATGGTTTATATTACCTCAGTAACCACCATAGAGTAAAGAGTCTGCTTTATAACATTAGTCATGCTTGGGTTTTAATCCTTTCCAGTCTTCTGTGTTAGACCTGTCTATTCTCTGTATATCCAACACCACATGCCAATTTTTCTGCATGACTATCTATTTAGAAATATCTAAGTCTTCCAACTTAGATACCCTACCTTTTCCTACAGAAATTCCTCAAAGAAAAGGATGTTTGCAGTACACATACAAAGAAAACTAACAAAATTGATAGAAAATAAAATAGAAGGATAAGTTTATTTTAGTGCAAAAATGAAATCATTGGATGTAAGGGACTTGTAAAATATCCATTACAGCTGTGAACATTTAAGCTAGTGCTGGAGATGCCAGTTAGAATGCCTTTGTATCAGAGTGACTGGGTACTAGTCCCATATGCACTCCCAATTCCATCCTTGCTCATGCGCACACCTGCAGGCAACCAGTGAGGCTCAAGTGACTGCGCCTTGCCTCTCACGTGGGAAACCAGAACTGAGATCTGCCTGGCTCCAGGCTGGGCTTTTGGGAATGAATCATTTACTGCAAATTCTCTCTGTGTCTCTCAAAGTTCACAGAAAGTAGTATTATGATAGAAACTACTCATGAATTTCAAAACTTTGTATCAACTAATCATTTTTATTTCTATTTTCCATGAACTTTTGAAAGACTTATATTTATTTGAAAAACAGAGTTCCCATCTCCTGCTTGACTTCTCGGTTCCCCACAACAGCTGATTTGGTCCTGGGCCTGGCTGAGATCAGGATTCCCACTCTCCATCCGGTTCTCCCACATGTGTACCAGGGACTCACCTGCTCCCAGGAAGTGCACATGCTGGAAGCTGCGTCAGAACGTGGCTGCCCCTTCACTCAGGCGTTCTGAGCTGGGATGTGGGAACCTCAAGCAGCATGGCTGCCACACACCAAATATTCACCTCCCCAGTGAACTTTTTATAGTACTAGCATAGAATATGTCTCCTACAAGGCTCCGGGTTCCTCCATTTGTTTTAATAGTAATACTTCAGTTAACACAAAATAGCATCATATATGATTTTTGTTTACCTTTGGATATTTCTTAGATTTTTAAAAATTTTCAATGTTTCTTTATTAAAGGAAAGAATTCTTGACTTTGCATTGTAGAACAAAACATGTATTAAGCCCTCTCCTTGAGTGCTAGCTAACACAGATATCACTCCCATCTCAAAACAAAACCTAAATTCCTGCTGATTGTCTAAAGTTCCTGTTTTTACTATTAAAACCCGTTGCCTTTAGACTATTTCTAAAGCAAGAATTGAGTTTAAGTTTTAACTGATCTAGTAAGTTTAAATAAACACAGAATGAAATTAAGTTATGACAGAATGCATAAGGCCACTACAAATCATTCAGTAAATACCATGTTCTCTTTTAATAACATTATTCTTCATCTCTTTGATCCAAATTGTGCTTGAAGAAATTGCACATCATTTACCATCACACAGTACCTGCAGAACAGAGCAAGCTAAGTGAATCTTCCAGAATATGTTTAATAAATATAATACCTCCACAAATGCTCGTGGCTCTGTCCTTCCTTTGTATGTTGCCCCAATTGTTTATAGTTAATTACTATTTAAATAATTGTAGCATTTATAAATTTCAAGTTTCTTTATCTAGACTAGTTAAAAATTCTTTATACATGGAAGTTTAAATGTCCTATAAAATAGAAGCTTATTTTAAGACTTCTAGGCTGATAAATAAAATCAAGGTATATTGTATCTTTGAATCATGAATAGGTTCACATAAGGTTTTCAGTCTGCATGTACAAATTCTTTTAGCGTCTATGATGTCTGCTTCATTATAGAGAAAATTTGACTTTAACCCCTTAACAGATGTTATTGCTTGAGAAACTCATGTCATGACTATATTTATGGTAATGAAAAAAATGGATAAATGATTGAGAATTTGACCTAAAGGTGAAAAAAATTATTATATGATTTATAAAAGCAGTCAAAGCGAGGGGACAGGGAGAAGTTTGACTGCAGCAGTTTATTGACTTGGTATGGGAGGAATTTAATACTTCAACTACTTGTAAAATTATAATGTCCACTTTTCTTAGATGTATTTAGAGATCTGCCCAGTTAAGCAGTTGCCAGAACAGACCTAACTATTGCTCTGTCCCTGTAAGGTGACTCACCCTCCTCACACTGTGAGTGGCTTCCTTTACTCTGGCAGAAAAAGTATAAAATACTAAGTTTGTTCTCTTTGTGTATAGCAATGTGTAAAGACCAAAAGAGTTCTCATGAATTCAGGCATTGCATTATTCCATTTTCATTCACTCCACAAATATTTATTGCAAAGCTTCTATCAGCCAAATACTGCTCTAAAGTTTGTGGCAGTGGTAAAAATGGGATGGAGCGGAGCCTGGTAGCTTAGCAGCTAAAGTCCTCACCTTGCATGCTCCAGGATCCCATATGAGCCCTGGTACTAATCCCGGTCGCCCAACTTCCCATCCATTTCCATGCTGGTGGCCTGGGAAAGCAGTCAAGGATGACCCAAAGCCTTGGGACCCTGCGCCTGTGTGGAAGACCTAGAAGAAGCTCTTGGCTCCTGGCTTCAGATTGGTGCAGCTCTGCTGTTACAGCTGCTTGGGGATTGGATCATTGGATGGAAGATCTTTCCCTCTGTTTCTCCTCCTCTCTATATATCTAACTTTCCAATAAAAAATTTAAGTATCTTTAAAAAAAATAGGATGAGGGAAAATCCGTGCCATTCTAGTCAATCCTAATGGGAATGGACAAGAAATAAACTAACAAGTCTTTTTGAGAGGGTTTTAAATGCTAATTATAAAAGTAGATATAGGAAGGGCACCAGAAGTACTGGGAGTCCTGGATAAGTTCATTGCAAACATGATGTGTGTATTGACCTCAATCAAATTAGATAAATATTGAATAACCACAAGAAAGAGCATTCCAGGCACAGGAAACTAGCATGAGATGTGCTTCTTGTGCATTGAAGAGACAGGAAGAAGGCCTTTGCAGTGGAATGAGAAAAGCAATGGAAACATCTGGTTGTCCCTGACCTCGTAAGTCCCTCTGAAAAATTTGGTTTCTCTTTACCAGCTGGGAAACCATTAGCAGGCTCTAAACAGTCTAATGTGACTTATATTTGAGTCAGATCCTTTGTATTGCTGTTCTGAAAGTGGACTATAGGAAGGCAATATAGAAGCAGAGGCCAATGAGAAGGTTCTTGGGGTTTGTGGTTGTAGCCAAGCTGGATCTCTTGAAAGGGAGGAACTAGGAGCATGGAACTGATGTGGGCTGAGAAAGAGTGAAACACAGCAAATAGAAGGATGTCCTGCTGCGCCAGAGCTAGAGAAGATTGTAAGATCTTATGGTAGTGGAGGTTGGAGAAACGGGACTATCAAGACCTCACTTTTAATAATGCTCCATTGAGTTAGCCTTAGACATTAAAGGCAAATCACAAAAGGGTGGAAGGAGGAACTTTATATTAATTTGCATCATGAGAATGACCATAAGTGTTCAAGAGTGTGTCTTAGGGCTGGGTTATACCAGCATTAGTGAAGAGGTATTTTAAAAAAGCAAAAAGAAAGCTGAAGAGCAAGAGTACAGCTGAGTGGAGAAGAAAGAAGAAAGGGGAAAAAAGACAACAATTTTGCTGTGTTTAATGGTGCTAACAGGGCAAATAAATTAGTTCTGAGAAATAACTATGCATTTGTTCATGGTCAAGTTTATTGATGATTTTGGTAGGATTAATGTTAATGAACCAGGTGATAAGAAGTCTAATTGGAAAGGCCAAAGTGGGGGAGGGGGGAGACACAAACACTGCTGTTAAGCAGTTTTGTTGTTCAGAGAAAGAGCAAGCTGACATGGCCACTGGCTAGGAGGCACCGACCAGCTGCTGAGACAGAATGGTCTGAGAGTGTGCTGACAGCCCCCTGCTGTGAGAGAGAGCAGTACATGTCTGATTGGTGACCTCAAAGGACAGTGCCTCCAGCAGATAGAGAGACTTTGTGTTTTTCAATGATACAGAGGTGTTGAAAAGAGATGGATGGCTCAGGCAAGCTAATATTGTATACATAATCTTAACCTTTTCCATCTTACTTTATATATAGTATTTTTCCAGGATTTATTTGCAGGTTTTTTAAAACAGTATTATATATAAAACCTTTATATTTTAGTTATTTATTTGCATGTCTGTCTCCCATCATAGGCTAAGATTATGTGAAGGGCCACATTTTATTTCTCTTGTGTGTCCATCCCATAGCTCAGCTTCCACACACAGCAGATGTTCTATAAATGTTTTCTTGAATAGATGTCTGTTATGTTCCATTTTGGTATATGATGTGTGTGACAAAGTTCAGTGTCACCCTAAAGGTTGCTACTAATTTCTAAATATAGGACTATGTCTGGTCATTTTGTTTTCTGCAGAGTCCTGGTGGAGCAGACATCATGAGGACAGGTTCACTCAGTAGTACATCCACAGGGAATTCATCTTTGAAAAGGATGAAACGAAAAGCACCTTCCCCTCCCTCCAAAATTCCCTCTCAACAGAGTGTCGAGAATAGCACTGTAACTGGTAATGTTCCTTTTCCCGTTGACGTTTGATTAGGGCTATGTTTTGTTTAATATTGGCAGTAGACATTAGGTCTTTTGATTAAAAACTGCGACTAACACTTAAGGTTTATAAATAGTCCTGTTTATTCTCACTCAACTCTTTTAAAAATTATTCCCGCTGCATGATCCTAAAACATTTTAATTCACAAATTTATTGATTCACAAATTTATTCAAAAAGATACTGCTATTCCAATATTGACTACGTGTAGGAATGAGAATCTAATTGAAGCTTTGTTGCTTCACAGCCGGTTGGTAAAATATCTTCTAACAAAGTTAGGATTTAGTGCTTTTTGAATTCCATAGCATTAATTCAACCACGAAGTAGCTGTGTCATTTGTGCATGTGCAAGCCATGAGTTGTGTTGTTTATTCTAGTCCCGCAATCAGAGGATGGAGTTCCTGCAGACAGTGCCTCAGAAGCCAGCTCCCCAGCAGCGCTGTCCAGCCCAGGTATGGCACCTCCACTGGCAATGTTTAATTCCTAAAAAAGAACTTTCATGACAATAGAGAAATGAATATGAAAGAGAAATGGACTCTTTGGCCTCCTTTCCCAAATTTTATGCCATCAACGAATTAACGCTTCTCCCATCTGGTATTACAGTGTAGACCATGCTGGTGGCAGAGAGCACAAGTTAAGTTCCAGAATGATGGTTTGAGAACTCTCCTCACCTTCTGGTTTTTTCCTTAGGCATTGTCAGGTTAACATATATTAACCTGTTTCCCAAGAGTAATGACACCTCATAGTTAGAAATGTTCTTCGGTGTGTTTAGAAGAAAACTTACATGAAAGTGTGAAGGCAGTTTCCTGATGGGACTGTGAGTACAGGGTATTTAACACTAGTTGCAAAAATGTTACAATGAAAATTTTTCTGTCATGTGGCTCTTATTTTAGATACTTCCAGAAGAAATGACATTCTAGTGAAAAAATAAAGTATTTCAAATATTTTTTCAATAATAGTTCTCTAGTAGTTGCAATAGAAATAAGTATGATAAAGTCTCTTAATTCTTAGTGTTAAAATTAGACAAAAAAAAAAGATATGACAAACCAGTAATGTACAAAAGCAGGATGCTGCTATGCTGATAATTATGAAAATTAATTATTTAAAACTTTATCTGATTTTTATCATGTTTATATTCATCAATATCAGTAACATTTATGAACAACCACATACACTTGATTCTTTCATTTTAACTGGTATTTTAAAATTTGAAATTTGAATATATATGTAAGAATTCACCACTCCTGTTTGTGATTTAAAACATTTTTGATAGGTAACTGATAACAGAAATATATCAATGACATTATTTTATTCCATAAGGAAACTTAGTGAATAGCATTAACAGGATAGAAAAATTAGCAGACTCTGAAGCGTTAGGACAGTATGTGCATGCTTTTCAGACTTCATTTGAAGCTATTTCTCTTTGTTCTTTGATCTCTTGTTAATGGCATGGGTAACTGTGAGATAGGAAATCTGATTTTTTTCCCCAGTATTTTCTGGTCTCTGCCTTTATCCCATTGTCTAAGTGCCGTTTCCACGGATTCTGCTTCTTCGGCAGGAGCCTCGCTGGGCCCCGCATCCCCCCGCCAGGAGCAGTGCACCACACCCACACTGATGGAGGAGCCCACCCTCTCTGAGGGCCCTGGAACACCTGAGGCAGCTGTGCCCTCGGTAGCATCGTTGACCTGTAGGTGGTCAGGCCTTTCCTGGCTTGTGTTTCATGCAGATTAAGATGCTCACAAATACAAATCTGATGACTTGTTGAACCTTGGGGTACCAGTTTTTCCTAAATAAATAGAAGTTCCCTATTTTCAGTTAAAGCTTCATTCATACTTGGAGTTTGCTGTTTTTATCTAATCATATAGATAAATATGACAACGTATGAGGTGAATGAAATCAGTGATTCTACGGGATTACCATTTCTCTTCTGTTTGATTTTCTGCTTTTGAGGAGAAACTGAGCTTTGTAATTTCAAGATATATATATATATATATACATAATTAATATTTAGATTTATTCTTTATTGAGTTCTTTTGTTATATATGGCTTATTTTCTGCCACATTGCTTTCATTCTAATTTTTAAGGTCTTTGGAATTTTAAATATGTTAAAGTTTTAACTGAAAGACAAATTTCAGAAGAGAGAGAAAGAGAGAGCTTTCATCCATCCACTGGTTCACTCCTCACATGTCCACCATGGTTGGAGCTGGCCCAGGCCAAAACCAGGAGCCTGAACTTCACCTGGGTCTCAAGTGGGTGGCAAGGACCCGAGCACTTACATTATCTGCTGCTTTCTCAGTGTATCAGTAGGGAGCTGGATGGGAAATAGAACAGCTGGCCAGTACCGGAACCGGGGCTTATATAGGATGCCTACATCAGTCGTGGCAACTGAACCTGCTATGCCACAGTGCTGGCCCCAAATATTGAAAAATATCAGAAGTATAATTAAATTTCATAATTGAGCAACACTTTAAGCTTTTTCATAGTTTCACCTAGTTTTTATGAGTGACTGAGAGAGTCTTATTGCTTCAAACCTGTTGCTTATCATTTGTGTGCCATCCCATACTGTTTGTGGGAGTGCAAAATTTTGTGGCCACCTAATAACCAATTTGGCAGGTTGCTTCATTGGCAGTTGCACACATGACTTGATAACGGACCTGCATGTTAATTATCGAGGTTCTGTTCTAATTGCCAAAATGAGAAACAATCAAAATGTCTCTAGAATGAGGATCAGATAAACAATCTGTTGTCCACCCCCTAACCAGAAGGCGGCACTACACCTGACCATCAAAAAGAACAAATAATTGATTGTTGTTGCAACTAGACAGAATTTCAAATATGTCATTGATATGAGGAAGCCAACTTGCAATGGCTTGAATATTTGCATTTGTGTAACATTCTAGCAAAGGCAAAACTGTAGGATGATAGTAAACAGAGGCTCATGTTAAGGTGACTGCTGACTACTGGAGGAATTAAATGACTACAGGGAGTTAGTGGACATTTTCTGTGTCCTGACTGTGATAGTATTTACGTATTTATACATAGTATTTTTATTATTTATATATGTCTGTCAAAGCTACAAAAATTATCTTCCAAAGGTAGAGTTTGCTGGGGAGAAATAGTGTCTGTCATTGTCAAAAGAAAAAGGTTCTGACAGAAGCTACGATAATGTATGATCTGACAAGAATTATTTTGAGGAACAAACGAGAAGAAAGGTAGTGTATATGAAGAGATTTAATTTAATACAATTATCTTTCAGCAAAGAATAATGTTTGTCAGGCGATTTTGCCACTTTGATGATTTCTAGAAAAAATACACAAGATATCTAAGTCCTCATGAAATCTTAAGCTTTAATAACCTCACAGATAAAATGCTACACTTCTGTGGACCCAGCGCATTGGCCGAGTGGCTAAAGTCCTTGCCTTGAATATGCTAGGATCCCTTATGGGTGCTGGTTCTAATCCCAGCAGCCCTGCTTCCCATCCAGCTCCCTGCTAGTGGCCTTGGAAAGCAGTTGAGGACCGGCCAAAGCCTTGGGATCCTGCACCCACATGGCAGACTTGGATGAAGTTCCTGGCTCCTGGCTTCAGATTGGCTCAGCATCAGCCGTTGCAATCACTTGGGGAGTGAACCATTGGATGGAAGATCTTCCTTTCTGTCTCTCCTCCTCTCTGTATATCTGCCTTGCCAATAAAAATAATAAATCTTTTTTTAAAAATGCTACATTCTGTAAAAATGTCTTTTGAAAAGTTATTTATATTTCTTTTATGTGTTTCACATTTTATGAATTATATTGGAAGAAAAATTTTATTTTTGTTTCAGTCATTTTCTGCCTTCAGTGGGACTGAAAAATTGAATTATTAACATTATCTAAAAAAATGTATGTGTAAATAAAATTTCAGTAATTATATTTTCAAACAGATTTTGTAAGAGCTATATTATACTGCATAAGTTGTTTAAATCTTAAAACAGCTCCAAGATTTTGGGGTACTCTCTTCTTTGAACATGAATATACTCCCTGTAGTGCTTATGAATCTGAAATATGACAGTTGTAAATACTACATTTGTGAAACTTATTCATTGTCCAAAGTACCTTCTTTAGTGTCTTTTTTCATCACAGTACTAAAATTTGGCCAACATATACAAAGCAAAGTTGATGTAACATTTTCAAAGCTTAGGGAACATCTGTTCTTTTCAGTCTGAAGATTCCCCTGAATGATTAGAAATTTTCTAGTCACTGCCTTTTCTAAAGCTTTTAATAATATGAATGCTTCCCTAGCTAAAAAAAAAAAAAAAAAGAAAAAAAAAACCTATGCACGCAAGCCTATAGTGTGCTTATAATTACCAAGCTACAAAAACAGAAAAATAATTTTAAAAAAGAATCTATAGTTATTTTTCCTTTTTTGTTGAGACCAGTTCTTACAATCCCCTACTTAAAGATACGCCTTTTAAATACTTGCCATAAGAGAAATAGAGACAAGGTGCAATAATTTGAATAATGCTGCTTCAGTTAATGTAATATTCCCAGAGCCTTCATATGTTCACACACCGAGGAGTTACATAGAAAATCTCATGTGTTTGAATGACTATGTGCTTTCATTGTTCTCAGGATACAACTTGCAAAATGTGTACATACCTCAGTATTGTGTTCTGTGATAGATACAATTGTCTACATTGGTATTGTGATTACTATACATTGTAATAGAGCAGCATTTGCCAAAATGTGTAGATTTGAAAGGTCACTTAAACTAAGCTGCTACTTAGTGTTTTTTTCTATGAAGTGGTTATTATTAACTATAAAAATCTCATTACAATTTTCCATCATTTTAATATTAGAGAAAAAAATGATACTTTTTTGTCCGCATGCCTGAGATTAACATTAGAGAGCTGTCTTTTAAGTACATTAAATACTCTTTAAGTGTGTTACTTATGTTGGATTTTGCAGGTGATGGTAAATCAATATAATTTGGTGCTATATTAGTCTTATTCTCCTACCACACACACACACACACACACACCACTCAGGGTAAAATTAAACTTCATAGAAATGTTATTGTAGAAATAGAAATGTTTAAATTTTACTTAAGCAAAAGTCTAAAGACTTGCTGTTGATATAAATATTTATTATTATTACTATTATTGTTGAAGGACAGTTAAATAGAGTGACAAAGGAAAGGGGTCAGGAAGTAAGCAGGGTAGAAAGGTAGAAGGGAAAAAGGTAGAAAATGAAAATGTGTCCATCATTTAGTTTACTCCACAAATGGCTCCAAATGTTGGGGTTGGCCCAGGCAGAAGCCAGAAGCTCCATCTTGGTCTACCCAATTGGTAGCAGGAACGTACTAAGGCCTTGGGTCATCTTCCACTGCTGTCCCTGGGGCATTAGCAGGAAAATGGATTGGAAATAAAATAGCCAACTGGAACCAGCACTCCTGTGGCAGCTTAACTTTGTGCAGCACAGTGCTGACCGCTTTAGTTTAAATTTTGACATTGAGTATGGATTGTAACTTCTGAAGATGTGTCTGCTTTTACCTTGATTTTTGTCACTAAAAAATAAAATGTATATTTAGACAGCAAAATTTTGGTCACGGTTTTTGAAAGGAATAATATCCATGCATACAGAGAATTATATGGGACACTAAGATTAAGTAAATGGAGTAAAGAAAAGCTAGGTGGAAAACATTAGGTATAGTATGCTTCCACTTAGAATTAAATAAACTAGCCAAAAATTAAGGAAAGGAAATGTTTGAACTTGGGTGTCAGCTTATGTATGCACATGTGTTTCCTAATAATGCACAGGGAATATTGATTGCTAGTGGAACTTGTGTCTGAGTGTCAAACTGCAGGGGAAGAAAAACTTTAATACTTGTTCATTTCCCATTACTTAAGCATTTAGATTAATGGCTCCTTTTTCATACCTGATTGTACATTAGAATCATCTACAAATCTTTATAAGTTCTTGTCTCCCACGCTTCAGAGATTCTGATTAAGCAGGTGTAGAGTAGGTTGTAAATGTATTTTTAAAGATGGGTCAGGGAGTTCTTTTTTTAAAGGTTTATTTATTATTTTTATTGGAAAGTCAGATCTATAGAGAGAAAGATCTTCCGACTGCTGGTTCACTCCCCAGGTGACCATAGCACTAGAGCTGAGCTAATCAAAAGCCAGGAGCCAGGAGCTTCTTCAGCGTCTTCCACATGGGTATAAGGTCCCAAGGCTATGGCCATCTTCTACTGCTGTCCCAGGCCACAAGCAGGGAGCTGGGAGAGAAGTGGAGCAATCAGGATACGAACTGGCACCCACATGGGATCCCAGTGCGCACAAGGCAAGGATTTAGCCACTAGGTTATTTGCCAGGCTCACAGAGATTTCTTAAATATTGTTAGTGCTGATAGCTACTGAGTCAAATTTTATGCTACCCTTGTAGACAGTACAAAAATACCTTTAAGTAAATTAATTAGCATTAAATTTTGCATGTAGTGCTATATGACTAAATTGAAATATATATTCTTAAATATTTAGTTGGAAGTTCATGAAATCAGATTAAATTAACCTGTGGATAAAACCTACAGTGTTAGCAATTGTTTTTTATGATTATAGCGATCTCAGATAATCTAATTATGTTTATGTGATTATTCATAATTAGAAAATTTTTACTGTTTCTGAACTAGATTTTAAAATACTGCAGCTAATTGTTATTTTTAAGATTCCATCGATGTTAGCATTATGTGTGATGAATGAGGCAAATTAATATTTAGGACTGTATCTACATTTCTTTGTAGCTGGAATAAGCTCTGATTATAGCCTTGAAGAGATAGATGAAAAGGAAGAACTGAGAGAAGTGCCTAAAGATGAAGCTGAAAATATTTCTCTGAAGTCACCAGATAGTTCTGTTGTATCTACTGATGTAATAAATGCACTGAAAAATGATCCTGACTCAACCCCTGGCAATGAGCGACAAGAGTCCTTGCAAAATGACAAGGAAGAAAAACAAAAAACCGGAACCACTGATGGACAGTAAGTAGTTCGAGTGCCAGAAGTGATGGTGGCAGTTCAATTCATGAAAGACTTCTGAAGTATAAATCTAATATTTTAAACACAAATCTAGTTGGCTTTTGGTTTAGTCTCTCTCCCTTTCACCATCAAGACAAAATTTGTTTTGATAAAGCAAATGTTTCCATAGAATTGCTCTCAAAGACAGTAAAATCCAATGCTACTTGTAACCCTGTTGCATAACTTACACATAAATTTTTCAAATTTATTTAATCAGTTAATTGTTCAGCTCAAAAATTAAAAGAAAAAGTTGTTTTGCCTATTACCTGTTTGACCTAAATGTTACATTTAATTTTCAATTCTCACCAAACATTCCTCGAAGGTTTTCACTGGTTGGTGTGTGATTGTGATTTTGCATTGTTCAGTGTGATGTTGAAATCACCACTATATCCTATTACAATTCACCCTGTGCCGAGATGCACTTCATAAGTGGTCTGAAGAATTGAAACCCACATTCCACTCAAATTTCGTTTGAAATGTAGCACCGTCAATAAAAATGAAATTAGCTAAACAAAATAAACCATCTTCCTTAAGAATTTGCTATGATTTGCCTGGGCTTATCTCAAAATTAAATATTACACAAAAAACAGTCATCTACACCCTGATTTATATGATTACTTTTCCATACACAAAATAAAAATGTTCCATTTAATTTCCTTTTTCTTTAAAGGTAAGCAGCTGAATAACAGTACTTTGGAAAAATGTCCACTTTATTAAGGTTCTTACTAAGCTTCTTACATTTGTTTTGTTTTGTTTTGTTTTGTTTTGTTTTGTTTGGAATAGGATCACCATTCGAAAGATGATGTTTCATGGCTGCAGTTTCTTCCCAGTTGTGTTTCTCCTTTTGCTTTGAAATTTTCAGTATCTGGCAGAAAAAGATGATTATTTCAGTCCATCTGTCTTTGGAAATTGTTGTCTGTTTTCTCATCATGTGTATGTGTTATTTGAGAATTATGGACATACAATATCATGTCTTCCAGAGAGTCACACACTATTGTACATGACACAAGCAATGGAGGGATAGCCATGGACACTGTAACAAACTTGAAGTCACTGGGCCCAAATCAAGAAAATGGTGAGTTATATAAATCCTGTTAACCTAACTTGCATAGCCTTGTGATGTGACAAAGATCATTCTTAACAGTTATTAAATCAATTAATCTTATTTGTTGACTCGCTTAACAAACATGAGTGTTATGGATGCTGTTATTTTGGGGCCCAGTTTACAAATGATTGAGCTACAAAAATGTTAATCCAGCTACACTTGTAAGTGATGGCTCCCTGGATTGAATTCCATCAGTATTGCTCCAAAGTGTGCCCTTAAATACCCTGTATAACACCTTAGTTGCTAAATCTTGGAGCATGTCTAAGTAGAACACTTGAAGTTGTGTTCAATAGATGCATCTGTTTGTGATTCCTTTTCTTTTTATTCATCTAACTCTAGCCCAGCCTATTCTGTTGCCTAGATGTTGTACCTTAATTTAAATTTTTGTAATTTTCTGGCTGATCAACGGCATACTAGATTAAGTCTCCACCTGCAAAGCTAGTATCCCATGGGTGTGTTCAAGTCCCAGCTGCTTCAATTCCAATCCAGCTCCCTGCTAATGTGTCTAGCAAAGCTGCAGAAGATGGCTCAAGTCTTTGGGCCTCTGTACTCCTGTGGAGACCTGAAGAAGCTTTTGGCTTCCAGGTTCAGATCCGCCCAGCTCTGACCATGGCAGCCATTTGGAAAGTGAACCAGCAGGTGGAAGATCATTCTCTCCTACTGTCTTGTCCTCTCTCTGCAAAAAAAGCAAACATAAGAAACGTTTGCAATTTCAATGCCTCAGCCTTTTTATATTGTGACCATATTTATCATTTCTAAATCCCTATTGCCAAATCTAAACTATTTCTTTTCTTCACGTTTTAGTTCACTCAATGTACTTATACTGTGTTTGCTTGGAGACCTGTTTTTTGTTTGTTTTCCACCAAAATCCCCTATTCAGAAGTCTCCAGCTGAATCACATCATTCCATTTGTCCTGCTACTTGTTTACCAGCAGCCATATAGTTCTATCTTCCTGATTCCTTAACTCAATTGGACACTCTTGGATCTGAGAAAAAACTAATCTTATCCTTTGAATTTCGCCTGTACCAAAAAACACACTGAGATGTTCTTTATATCCTTAGGATTGAATTTCAGAAAAATATTTCTTACAGTAGAAGACTCAAATAACATTCAATGATGTGTAAAGGGAATAAGAAACTGGCTATGAATTTGCATGATATAATACTACACAAAATTAAGGTTCTTTGAAAACATAAAAATACAATATTCTTATTTTGATAACACATGGATTTGAATATCATATGTTCATATTAGGGTATTTTTAAGTTCATGGATGAATATGTATTATGAAATATAATGTGTATGAATGTCAAATTTTTTTGGTCAAAATAAATTTGCATTCTAATTTCCATTTTTCCATGAACCTTTGAAGTCCTCTTGTATGTCTGTTTTACATATGTGGTATGTTTTGGTTAATATGATTATGCATATCTCTAATTCATTTTCTTCTAGTTTATTATCAATCTGAGATACCTCACTGAGAAAGTCTAACATTAAATCATTTCTTTAATTTTCCTGCTGCTGTTTCCATAGTATAAATTTATGATGACAGTAACATTTCTATTGAGGAATTATTTAAACATTTCTTTTCAAAATAACAGCTTATTTTTCACTAAAACTTTGGCTTCAGATGAGTACTAAGGTCCTGAGTACATTTACATAATATTTGACTTGTGGGTAGTTTGTATTAACCTCTTTCAACCCTCGGTGATTTTTAAAATAATTTTTGTTATCCTTAACGCAATTTCTTCTGTTTACCTTTTTACTTGCCTATAACCAGTGACAGGTTTTAACTGGAGAAGGGTAGGAAATGGGAACGCTACCTTCTCCCTCTACTGGCCAACATCAGAACATTCATACACACCTGGTTAGTGTCATTGCCAGTTTGGAATGAGGGGGAATTAACCAATAAGCCATTCAGTGGTTATTAACCAATAAGCCATTCAGTGGTTATTCCAAATTTCTAGGCCTGACCATTATTAGGAATAATGATGAAATATGAAAGAGGAATTCAAAGTCAGGCAATGGGTAAATAAATGCTACTGACTAAAAATAGGAAGAACAAATTTAGAGTTCTAAAACCAAACAGTTTGAATTAATTATAGAGGAACTTGATTTTGAAAATAAATTAACATTGATTTATATCCTTTGGGAAATTTTTTTGCTGTGTAAACTGAGAAATACCTCTAATCTTTGTAAAATGAGACATAGGAAAATAATATGTTTTTATATTCATCTCCTGTTGTAAGGGAGCATTTCTTAAATTCTTCTGTACTCCTAACAATGTTTATATAAATCTTAAACATATAGTTTTATATAAACATTAAAAATACTTAGAAACCAGATGAGATGGAAGAGGAAGCACACTTGAGCATATTACACAGTTCCTCATCATATGTGCTCTTAATTTCATAAATCACAAAACAAGTCACATTGATGATGAGTCTTCTGATCATCAGTTGCATTTATTTGTGAAAAAAAATTCGTTTTTGTTTTTTCACTTTTCTTTCTTTCATTCTTTCTTTCTTTTTTATTTCATTTTATGACACAGTTCCATAGACTCTGGGATTCCCCCAACCCTTCCCCATGCCCTCTCCCAATGGTGGACTTCCACCTTGTTGCAGTATTACAGTTCATATCCAATCATTCCGTCATTGCAAGCATGTACCATGCATAGAGTCCAGCGTCTCATTGTCCAGATAAGTTCAACAATTTCCTTGAGAGACCATTCCTGATCTGAAAGTAGAGCTGGCAAAATATCATCCCCTCCAATGAAAGGCCACAACATAACATCAACAACAATTTACAACATTATGGAGTTAATTGACATGGTATTAAGTGACCAGTATGTTAGAAAATGCACGTTCTTAACCACATCCTGTGACTACTTCATTAACATTTCAATTTTAGCTTATACACAACCAGCTGCTATACACTTTAAAATGGTTATAGGGTACTATTCAGCTGTTTCGTGTCTATTTTTATTTTTATATTTAGCAGTTTATAGTATTGAAGTATGATTTTTACTGAACTTTGCTAATTTTAGGATAGTTCAAACAGGCTTATAGCTCTGACAAGGCATATGTTAACACTTGAGGTGCAGAACAGTTTTAGGAAGGGTGTGCAGAGAAATCTTCAATACCTTAGTGAGGTGTACCTAATCTTTGTGTCCTGCCTAGTAAGGTATATGTGAGTCCAAGCTGACCGTTTCCTGTCTGTTCTAAACTTTCCTTATTGGACTCTGTCTATCTAATCAAACATTTTTTTCCAGAGGGTGTGGTCCAGAGCAACTATGATGGTCATTGCAAGAGAGGGTGGGGATCCAAAGTTGGCACTAAGTAAGGACCAGAGAAAGCTCCCGAGTCCTGAAGGAAGTTTACTGTTGTTTCTGAGGACCGCTCAGGGTTCCCAGGTGTTGTTCCGATGACATTAGATCCTGTGAGGTTGATTTGAATCTTACTACACAATATAGATATTGCTATAAGCAACAGACAAAATGAGAAATCTGTAGATTTCTTTTTTAATTATAATCAAGTTTGCCTGGTAACATCCCTTTACCCTCCATACCTACATATATGTTCTTTTTTAATGCAGATGTATAATATGTGCCCCTTAACATTTAGGCAATATACTTGATCCTCTCCTGTTATAGATATGCCAGTGAATACAGTTTAAATAGATACTTGATATCCTTTACTGTTTATTCACAATACCTGCATTTCCCTGGAGGCAAGCACCAGTGGTGACACCTCATGTAAGGTGTTTGACTGAAGCAGCACTCCTGTGAGTCTGTTGGTTCAGGATTAGGTGTGTGGCATGTGCTGTGTATTCACAAATCAGGGCTTCCAACCAGCACCTCAGTCTAGACCTTTGTCATGTTGTTGACTGGAAGTTATTGCCTCGTTGCCCTAGATACTGGCACATTATTTTCATTTTCAGGGTAGAGGGAATCTGGTTTCTGTGTTTGGGTTGTGACTCTAGAAGATTAAGGATACCTTTTTCCCACAGAGAGAAATCCAGATCTGCATGATCATTTTTACATAGTTTGAAATCACCCATGTCGTGCCTCAAACCCCATGTCCTCTCCAGGTCTCTAGTGAGAACAACCAATTAACAAGATAGTACCTTGGATTCAGTTTTCACTTCATAAACTAAAGGGGAACATAATGAAGACTGACAACATTTACAGATATTATTTTTCTTCTAATGTTGGTTTTAAAGTGTGAATAACTAGAAGATTAGATAAAGTCAAAATGCAAAAAAGAAAAACCAGTTTTCTTAATTCATCAGTTTATTTTGTCATTATTGATGCCTGAAAACTGAAACCTTTCCTTGCAAGAAGGAACATAAACTACCTTCTATTGGGTGCTGGTTTGGGCAATAACACTTCCTGCCAAAAGTGTAACATAAAGTCTATGTAAAATATGGGTGTTCACTATGTTATATCTATTAGAACTGAGGTTTGAAGGCTTGCATTAACATTTTGTAGTCATATTCAATTCTGTGAATCCAAGCCCATGATAATGTCTTTGTGTGCAACTTCAAGACTTTTAATGTTTCATGAAGTAAAAATTATTCATAGATTTCAATCCAGCCTATTTCTGGCTGGGTAAGTGTTAAAAAGTGTGAATTCTTCCACCTTTTTAATATTTTCAATCTGATATTTTTTCTCTCAGTAGTTCCCAATGGAGTGGCTGTCTTTGCAACAAATATAGAAGATAATATTAAAAAAAGAGAAAACAGTGTGGGAAGTGTTGACAAAAGTAAAGATGTAGACATGGAAGTCAACAGACAACCAGACCATCCAGGATTTAAAAGTCACAGTGCTCTAAGTTCCAAGGAAAATGACCTTGCAGCATCCCCAGGTCAAAAGCCAAGTCAACCTACTGCAGAAAAGACAACAATGCAAGATGCAGCTATTCAGACAGCCCCTTCTTGTAGCAACTTCACCGAGAATCACCAAGATCAAAATTTGTCAACCTTCAAAGTCGATGAAATTGTACAAACTTCAAATAGCAGATCAACTCAGCACTTGGCCTTAAGTCCACACGATTCTGCTGATATCTCAAATGAATTCAGGAATCAGGATACCCTAGCTAAACATTCAGAAGGTGAACAAGCCATGAAAGTTCCAGTTTCTGCACACAACAATGAGGATCATTTGTTGCTCACAAACGAAAATGTTAAAAGTTCACCAGCTTCCTCCCTAAAGAATCCTCCACTCTACAGACAGGACTATAATCCCAAGCCAAAACCTTCAAATGAAATCACAAGAGAGTATATCCCCAAAATTGGAATGACTACTTATAAAATAGTACCTCCCAAATCCCTGGAAATATCGAAAGATTGGGAATCAGAAACCATTGGATATAAAGATGATCAAAAGCTACCTAAATTAGACAAAAGACATGTGAATGAGAATGTGAAAGAAACTGCCATTCAAACAGAAGGCTTAGTTATTTCTGAAGGCCCGAAGGCGCCACCTCCAGATCTCAAACCAAAGCCAAGCTTGAAAGCAGAACATCAGGTGCCCAGGGCTGTGAACTCCCCTGTTGGGGCCACAGCGAATCCTCTGAAACCTCCCAGAATGACTAGAGACTCTGGTCTTGCTCCTTTTGCACCAAATTTGGAGGATATACACAATATTTTGGAGACAAAATTTAAACCTCGGATTTCAAATCCCCAGGCCAAACCAAGTTCCTTTTTCTTGCAGATGCAGAAGAGAGCTTCAGGTCAATACGTGACTTCTGCAGCTGCCAAAAGTGTTCCTGCTACTCCTACCCCCACCCCCAAAGAACTAGCCAATAAAGAGGTGGAAAGGGATGCGCTGCCTCCTCCAGAGCCGGCTCTTTCTCCTTTAAGCAATGCAACACTCTCTGCCCCACAGCCCCAGCTGATAAATCCCGATGGTGACATCATCAGTCAGAAGCCTACTGAAACTTCCCTTCCTCCTCATCCTCCTCCTGTGGCTCCAAAACCTGTGTCTCTTCCAGCTAGTCAGGCAGCAGCACTAAATCTGAAGACTTTGAAAACTTTTGGTGCCCCCCGACCTTTCTCCAGTTCTGCTCCTTCGCCGTTTGCTCTCGCGGTAGTGAAAAGGTCCCAGTCCTTCAACAGGGAGCGTGCTGAGTCTTGCAGTGATAATGTGTCTGCCCCACCGCCAGCTGACTCCAGGGAAGGCGCATTTTGTTCTGCAAATATAGTTGAGGATACCGCACAACTTGATGTGGTTGATAAGGTAAATGTTACCACTTTAAAAATAAGGACTTTGATTCAAGCATCTTAGTTTGGAGGTTAACCAGCTTGTTAATATGTTCATGCATTACCTTTCTCTGAATTCATTAGTTTGATATCATGCTCTTATATGACAGAGTGATAAGACATGGAATCTGATCATTTACTCTGATAACTATAGTTCATATGACCTGATGTCGAGCATTATAAAGTTTACATTATGTCATTAACAAAGGGTTTAAAGTCTCTTTGTAAATTTGTAAAATGTGCTGGTTTATAATTTTAACTGATCGTAACTTGTTTTCAGCTGTTCTGAAAGCTCTGAATTATTTTCTTCAACTTTTTATTACTATATAATTGCAAAATAAATAAGCTTATGATAAAGAAATATAAACAGTGTCGAAGACTAAATAAAATAACTATATTAGCTATGCATTTTCCATTATGTTTCTTCAAGCATGGCTTCCCCCAAAACTTTGCCATATTAAGTTGAGAGCTAAAGTTTTAATTGTAATTTTATTAATTGGCCTTATTTTGTTAATTCAGCACCAACTTTCTCAGCTGCATGATGCTAACCAAAACATCATTGAACCACTGTTTAATAATATACCCAAAAGAAATGCTGTTGACCTAGTATGTAGTCAAATAAATCTTGTATTTGGCTAGATCCAGATAAGGAAAGGAAAGGGTGAAATTCACAATCTAAATCTTGTTAATCCATGTGCATTTTTAAAGAAATACTTTGTATACTCTTACTCTGATGGTGTTTCAAGAGTACTTTTATATTTGTATGATGGTTCCAGAAATATTTTATCCTACTTTTCAAACATTCCTAAAGGAAGAGAACTTTATCCTCATTGCCAAGTAAAGATTTTTACATGACTTTTAAATCAATATTTATGTTGAAAATTATTTCAGCATATATATATATTTGTAATCTTGATGTAGCATCAGAAAGAGATATATGATTAAGAGAATAATTCTTTATTTGAGAAAAATCCTGTATTTTTTTCCTGAAATGGAATGCCATTCCCTAAAAATATGGAAGCTTGATTTAGATAATGCAATTTTTCAGTCATTGCTGGAGCCCTCTGTATGCAGCTCATTCTTTGTAAAGATATTTGTTCAACATTTTGGAAAAAACATTTTTTGGAACATTACTTGATAATGTTAGTCAGTTAAATTAGTTACTAAATATCCCTTCCTAAACAGTTTAACTAAGTTTCTGATTGTTCAGTTTGGAAGTTGTTAATCTTTATTTTTAGAACCATGAAAAAATGTAAAAAATGCTTAATTGGCACTTAATCACCATGACCTCCAGAATTATAAAATAAGTTATTAGGTTTAGTTATTAATTAATATTCTCCTATTAAAGGATATGGTAGATCCAATCAGCATGAAATAACCAGTATTTGATAGTGCTGTACATTTAAAGATAATAATTTCATAGCCTAATATGTTAGAACCATGAAAATGTTTGGCTTTTCATTTTGTGAGTTTGATAATTTGTTTCATTCTTCTAGTCAATTCCATTTGTATGAAGTCAATGAGCTGCCGGACACAAGCTAACTTTTAAGAAAAAAAAAGTTTAATTATTCAAGTTCAGTGTACAAAAGAGCATAATGCAGGCTGGGCAAGGACTGCCCATGGCCACATCAGCTCACGGCATAGGTAGCAATGGCAGCAGCAATTTCAGAGTGATGGGTCACGTCTTAAACTAAGAACAAAGAGTAGGTGGCATCTCCCATATCCTTTCCCAGGGCATATTCCCAAGGGGATCATCTCCCAACAATGCTACCATTGGGACAGAGTCTTTAATTATAGATTTTTTTGAGAATACCCAAGTCAATATGCAAACCATAACACCATATGTTGAAAAGCCCATCCTTACTATACTCAAGCACGATAAAACTACTTTTGAATTCATGAACTGGATACCGTTTTTCTTCCTTAGCTCCCTGAGTTCATGAGAAGGGAAGGGAGTGCCCACAACCCTCAGCTTAGCTCTGGCAGCAAAGATAGTTCAGTGGAGGAGGAATCATTGTTGTATCTGAAATGCTGAAACGCTGATGTGGAAAATGATGATGATTTTTAAAGCACCGTTGGTTGAACATGCTTTGCAAAAACAGTCCATTCTGTCTTTGTATTCATATAAATATTTTGCATCTACTTTTGTAGGAAAATAAATCTGCCCATAATGAGCAAAATTCCAAAGAACCAACTGCAGCTGACAGCCCATCCTTCACCCTTAAGAGACAAAGCTCTTTGACGTTGCAAAGCTCTGACCCAGAACAGATCCGACAGAGTTTGCTGACTGCGATCCGTACTGGGGAGGCTGCGGCCAGGCTGAAGCGGGTAAGTTCTGCTGATCAGATGAGTGAGTGTGGACTTATTTTTAACATTGCCAAACTAATACTCAGGGAAAATGTATTTTTTTCCCCTAGAATTTAATTCTAAGTAGGGAAGATGCCAGAAGTTTCTCTTTTGTGTCAAGGGTCATTTTTGAAGTTAAGCTGAAAGAGTCCAGAGTGTTTCACATAGTTGAAAATATGTCAGGTCTATTTTACACTTGCTGGGCTAGGTGTAGAACACAGGTTTAGTACATTATTTTATAACTCTATATATAACAAGTGTCCTGAACTCTTATTTTAAGGAATTACGTTAGCACAGTTGAAAAAAAAAATTTTTTAAATACCTCTCTATATTCTGGAAACAGTAGACTGGTGATATGAACCTACATGTTTTCAGTTATAGATCTGACAGTGACCTAAGTGACTTTCACATGTGAAGTGTCAGGGAGCTTTGTATCTGAAGCTGAAAAGGAAAGCGGAGAGAAAAAGTTAAAGAGATGTGCATAAGGCCTGATGCAAAGTTTCATGTCTTTCCTACGAAAGATGTGGAGCTTCTTGCTGCAAGGAAAGAGTGCTGAGAGAGAAGGCAGTTCCTTTTCGTGGCAAACACCACATGGTTGTTGCAGGGAGTGCTTTGCACACGATTTCCCCCCTTGTGTCTTCTTCATCCTCTGGAAAAGGTTTGAGGAAGCTTTAAGCAAACCCGCATCACTTGGATTTCCCAGAGGCAGTCTTCACCTGCTCTCCCTTCATGGTCGTTGCGGGAAAAGCCTCTGCAGTCAAGGGAGTATACACATCTGTTCTTCCACTGAGTACCCAGGCACCTCATTTTACCAAGAGACCTGTTGAATACAACACTTAACTCACAAGAAGGGAAATCTGCTAAGGAATCAGAATGCTGCTAGGATGGGGGGAGGGGAAGAGGAAGCATTACAAATAAAGCAGTATTCTAACTGACTGAATTTAGCAAGCTGATTTCTTTGGTATGTTTTTATGGAGCCAAAAATGACAGCATTTTTCTTTTGCTCCCAGAGGCCATGGAGCCAAGGCAAAATATTGAGTGCTCTCAGGATGAAGGAAGCAGGAAGGAATAATTTGGAGGTTTGGTCTGAATTTTAGAGAGTGTGAGAGTGTGTATTTAAGTGATAAGAAACATATAAGCTTGGGTTAGTTTTGATTACTGAAATTGCTATTTCACAAGTCATAATCAATTTGTACTTTTGAGGGGGAAAGCCATTCATGTTTATAAAATACACATTCTCATTTGTGAAAAATTTTTTTGAATTTTGCAAGTTGAGCGTCTGTTTCAAGCCATGATTACCAATTTAAAGCATTCTTAATTCATTTAATTTGACACATATTTTTTAAGCATATCAATTTCACCATTTTGCATGGGTACAAGGATGAATCAAATGAAGTCTTCATACTTTTACAGCTTGGTTCTTGGAGGCAGTGCTACTTGGAGACCCCAGGGAGAACCAGCTATCCAAACCAAAACTGATCACAGTGCCATTGTACTAAGTCAGTGAATATGTTAATCACTTTCAGTGAACTGATTATAGAAGACTGTGCATTAGATTGAACATGGCTTTTGGGCCAACAGAATTATACAGGCCAACAGCTTTATTCTCTGTGTGTTATGGTCTCTGTTTTGGCAGTCGCTTCACATGGAAGAAGGTCATTGTTTCTGGAATGAGCTGGATATGAATCAATACAGAAGGCAGGCTTCAGTGATGATCCTGTAATTGTGTCCTATTTAAAGCTCATTACGTTAGGTTCCATTGAATATACAATGTCTCTGTGTAGGAAGTTATTGATAGTTCTGAATCTGTATTGCCAACTCCTGAGGTTTTTTCAAATTAAAACTTTAAAAATAGTTCATTTTATTTCACTAAAATTGTATACAGTCAATTTCATGATATTAATAGTCTATGTCTAACATGTTTATTTCCAATTAAGTACTCTAAAAATTATGTTTTTATGTACTGGGACTCCAGTTAAGAATGCCCCTGGAATAATGTTTAATAGTGTAGAATAAACATAACCTTAGTTCCCCAAAATAGTAGAATAAATAGCATGATATACAAAGAATGAATCATTGTACAGCAGTAAAATGGACACAAGTCCTGCCAAACCAGACAGTAAATAAAAGTGCACAAAAATACATATAGGTCAAGTTTGATAGCATTCAAAGCTGTATCATTTTGTGATGCATACTTAGGTGATAATTCTTTTTGAAAACAAGAATTAATTACTAAATAGTCACTGTTTTACTTTCACTGGGAAAAGTAAAACAGTTGTTAAGGGCTTAATGCAGTAGACAGGCACAAAATTTACAGGGGAAATAAAAACTGAAGTAATCAAGTATAAGTATTATCTTACCGCAGTGTATTGTAAATATCCAAATGAATAGAAAAGTACACGGTAGAAGGAAAAAAAAGTACAAAGAAAGGTACCATCCTCAGGTGTGTGCAGATCTTCCACCTCTTACAGGTGGTGGCTTATTGCGAAAGGTGAAAACCATAAAGGTGGGCACCTCATTTCTTGTGATTGTTGTTAAGTCACATGTTTCTGTGTTGAAGAGTTCTTCCTTCTCTTAAATTCTGACATTTCTTTTATAGCACAACAATTACACTGCCAAAAAAAATCTCCAGTGATTTTGACAGTGGGTTTAAATGGCTCATCAGAAAGTTGGCTCTGTGTTTGCTTTTATCTTGGCACACAACTGTTCAATTTAACTCCAGGCACCAACCTGCCTTATGGCTCTGGTTAGTACCTGAGAAATTAGCCTTCATTACATTGGTTTATTCACATTAGAACAATTATCTAGTTGATTGCTTTAGTGATGAAAGAGGTTTTTGATGCTTCTTAAGGGCTTTCCTGTTTCTATCCCCACTCAGTCTCCATGGATTCTCAGAAATTAGCCTGATCTTCATATAAAGACTCAGTTTTCTCGCTGTGTACTATTTAAATTATATTAAGATTTAAATACAAATAACATTATTTACAGAGAATAAGGCAGATTAAATAATCCATTATCATGTCCTGTGTTTACACAAGAATTTCTCTTTTGGTGCTTTCAGTATTTAATGATGCATTAAGTTATTAATGATAAGGCTATTACACTTTTATAAATAGTATGTAGGTTTTTAAAATTAAGGTTGGAAAGTAAACTGATGAATGGTGTTTAGTAGTTGATATTAAGTGTTTCTTCACTACATCAAATTTATCTTTGGCTAGATAAGAGCCTGGAGGGAAGGAAAAAACTGGCTAAGTCACCCAGAATCTTGCTGATTTGTGTTTTGTTTTGAGGGGGGGGGGTGGTCTTGTTTTTTTATTAATATTTCCTTGGCTAGAATTTGAGTAACCAAAGACTTTCCAGTTGGCAGCTCTTTCTATGTATATTTAAAATAAAAAATCACATAGTTTTATAGTTATGTTTCATATGTAAATAAGAAAGCTATGAAAGTATTCTTACAAATTCTTTAAACTTTGAGGATTAAAAAAATCACAGGTAGATGGATATTCATCACTGTAAATTCTTAAATGTTATGTTTAAAGCATTTTGATTATTATAATCCTCATTGATAAAAAAGTGAGACTTTTTAACAAATAGTTTTCATATCTTAATAAATACATATTGAACAATTAAATAATTAGAATAGTGTGGCATTAAAATATTTCTCTGCTCGAGAATTTACAGAATAGCATTCTAATGATATATTCTCAGAGTTTAAAAGTTTAGTAGAAAAAAATTTTAAGATCCAAGGAGATGAAATTTTTCTCCCAAACTACACTTTGGATAGGTTGCTGTATAATCTTTCCGACTGCTTTTGTAGAATGAATATTTTTTTTAATTCATAAAAAAAATTAGCTCTCTGCAACTAATTCCTGAACTGTTTATCTGAAGCCTTCCATCTTGTCACATACATGTATCCTGTTCTTTTTAAGTTACGTAGCATTGAGAGCATGGACTACCAAGTGGACATTTGGCTGTATCCTATAGATGGCATTACAGAGAGCATGCTTTCACTTGCAGTTATCTAGAGCCATCAGATGCTTTTGATGCACCTAAAAAGAATTTTCTCTTCTACTTTACAAAAACTTATTAGAACTGCAATTTTTACATGAATTAGTTAAACAACTCTTTTCACAAACTTTTGGGTTATGGTCACGCAATGAAAAGTCCTTACCTATCTTTTGTTGAGTATACTTGAGAAGAAATTTCCCATGACTACTTAAAAAGATACATAGGAGTTATTTCAGCAGCATGATTTCTTCTCAAGTGTTTTATTTCAGGTGTGTTGTGTCGGTCATGCTGCTCCGTCCTATGTTCATTTGACACCAAGAAAATTCATTAAGATAGATGACCATATGAAGAGAATGAAAGGCACAAGGAAATCACACCCAAACTAAATTTGTCAATTTCACCTTGCTTAATCTGGTAATAGGCAGGCAGACTATGTAGCTATTTGTATTTTAGCTCTATTATTGTATGCATTTGACAGCGTTCACAGTGTTTGATTACAAATTATAGTCTACTGATAGAATTTTTCACAAAATAGTTTTATGCTTTTATGTCATGTTCCTTAACATTTTTCTAGCATTTCAAATTACTGTATACATTTACAGTTCAAGATTCAGATTATTTTACATTCTTTCAAAGTGCAAATTTCAGGCTATTTAGGATATTCTTGTTCAGTGTTTTTTATTCACCAGGAGTTTTTCAATACCAATAAAAGGCTTTACTAGTAGAAGTAAAATTTTTTGTTTTGCTGTTGTTTTGGTATAGTAGTCACAGATTTAACTATTTTTAGGTCCTTAATATGAATGTGCTTTACACACCAAAGGCTGGATTTTGTTTTTTACTGTGTTAGCTTTTATTTTTAATAAATAAATGACCATGGGGGTTTGAAGATGGGGAAGATATCAGGTTGTGTAGACCACCAACACAAAAATTATGGAGATTCATTTATGAAAATCCATCACTTTGGTGTTTGTTTTTTTAACATTCTGCAAGCATTTTTGGGGAGCCAGGATTAGTCTAGCTCAACATGTGCTGAACAGCTTGGCCTGTAGTCTGTCTGTGCTCTTGTCCTCTGTGGTTGATATGGTATTTTTGTAAAGACTAAGATGTGTTAATGGACTATTTAGCTTGTTTGTTGTGAAATAACAGCTCCTAATTTCTTGTCAGCATGATCATTTATTCTTTGTTATTTGAAATTTAATGACAAATCAATACTGTGTTTTCTCATTTACAATTGACTGGAGGTTAAAATGTAACTGTTGAAAATTGAAAATGAGACAGCTGTCCCATTTTAAACTGACGGGTTCTTTCTCTTAGGTTACTGTTCCATCAAATACGATATCTGTGAATGGAAGGTCTGGACTTGGTCAGCCCATGTCCCCTGACGCCCAGCACAGCTGTTAAGTGCCACTCTGTCGTACTACGCTTCGCTACTTCGGTTACACACACCAGCCACACGCCAACGGACAACATTTGAAAATGTATATTCAGATGTACACTAATATATTCTCTATCAAAGTAGATGCTTTGATGCCAAAGGAAATATCAGAATTTATAATTTATAATAATTTTTTGGTCTTTTTTTGTCTTGAATCGGATATGCTGCTTTGGAACTTTAAGACTTATTCAAATCAGAAGTAATCACCTTTATTGATTTATTTTACTTACAAACACAGTCTCTTAGACAAAAGGATAAATTAAGATTCCTAGACAGATAGTTGACGTATATGTTGCTAAGTAAACCGAGGTCTGACATTTGTTGTCTCAATGTTACAGTTTTATTGAAAAACATTTATAAGTTATATTCAAGCCTATCTTGTGTTGAATAAATCTAGAAAACTACTGATATCAAATAAGTGTATTCAGTTTGTAATTATTTTTATGATGAATCAGTGTGCAAGACGTAGCTTATGCATTTTTATTTAATTATAAATCAGTGTCAAATTTATGGGAAATTCATAGTCTTTTAATATTTTATTAACATTGAATATTTTGTAATCTTTAGAGCTTAAGTTGCACAAGAATTGGAAATATTTTCTGTATATACTTAGAGCACTATCATTCCACATACAGATTTTCTGTGCCAGAAGCCTTAAAAACTTCCTGTGAAAATGTGAATTACTGTGACAGTCACTTCACATTTGATGTATAGAGAGCAATGGCGGTTGATTTACATGCACATTGGAAAGTCTGAAAGAGTGTTTGGAAATCCCAGGATCATAAAATAGCCATTAATGTAGTTTAAAGATCATAGCATGTATTACATGGAAGCTAACACTGTTAAGCAAACCCAGCACCCAGCTTGTTCTGTTCACTTGTAACGCTCCTGGCCGTAGAATATTCTGGTGTCCTGTTCCTATACTGAGAATGTTTCCTTGCTTACCTTTTCTGAGAACTTTATTTACATAAGCAAAAATTAAATTGTTTGCAATAAACCTACTGAGATATCTGCCTCTTTAATAAAAGAAAGTTACATATTTGAGGTGTTTTTTTTAATTAGGTAGTGTCAAACAACATAGTTGTGAAACTCGCCTGTTGAACATATTTCTGTGAGCCCTTGAACAAACAAGCAGTCGGAGCCACCAGGTTTCATAAGCCCCAATTCCAGACACCTTGTCTGATCACACGGTGTGCGTAGCCGGGCCCTGACACGTGACCAGGTCATCTGCAGTGCCACCCGCTGCCGCTGCTTCCCTTCGTCTTAGAAGCACAGACCTTTGATGCTTAAGTTACATCATCAGAAACCAGTAAGGAGAGGATTGGAATTTTGAAAATTGTGTTTGAGTAATTGATTAACTGGTTCAAAAAATAAATAACTCTAGCCTCAAGGCAGAAACCAGAATATTTGGACTAAAGACTTATTTTTATTAAATAGTAGGTATTGATTGATTAGAAAAACAGAATGGGAGAGATTTGATGTGCTGCGTCGCAAGCCCAGCGCACACGACAGGCAGGGACACGCTGGCTAGACAGTTCTCTGTGGGTGGCAGGAAATGAAGTACTTGAACAGTCATCTGCTGCCTCCCAAGAGCGTTAGCAGGAACCTGAATTAAAAGTGCAGTCGAGGAGCCACTGCAGTGGCTAATTAGGCTAATCGTCCCCCTGCAAGTGTCAGCATCCCCATATGGACACCAGTTTTTGCCCCAGCTGCTCCAATTCCGATCCAGCTCTATGCTGATGGCCTGGGAAAGCAATAAAGGATTGCACACGTCCTGGTCCCTGCGCCTGCATGGGAGACTCAGAAGAAGCTCCTGGCTCCTGGCTCCTGGCTCCTGGCTCCTGGCTCCTGGCTCCAGATCAGCTCAGCTCTGGTGATGGGGACCATTTTGGAATGAACCAGCTATTGAAAGGCCCTTTCTCTTTGTCTCTTCTCTCTGTATTCTGTTTTCATGTAATAATAAATCATCAAAAACAGGTTTAAATAAAAACAACCAAGACAAACATTAAGATTTGAATTTATTTTAAAATTTATTCTGTATATATAAGTAAAGCAAGAAAAATCATAGGATGTTTTCAATATATATAAGTCTTAAATTATGAAAGTGTAAAAATTACTATAACTCAGGAAAACTACTTAGTTCAAATATGAACACCTTGAAAAAACAACTTAAGGAAATCTCAAGCTCAACAAACATGAAAAATATTTTTCACTGATATGGGAGTAATAGAAGTAAAAAACAGGAAATTTCATAGCACTTGTGGAAAAATCTAACTTTCAAAATTGCAGGTGTTGTCATAAACATGAAACAGTGGCAACTTGTATTTAGGGACTAAAACGACTGGCATAACCATCGATTTTGCAGTATCAAGTACCACTAAATGTTCCTCCCATGTTATGTTTAAGTATAAATGCGTGTGAATAGGAAGACATAGGAAATGTTCATGGCAGCCTGTGTTAAAGCAGAAAAGGAATCTTGACAAGGATTCTGTCCAATTCAGACATCCATATCACAGACTTCTGTTTAACAGTCAAAATGAACAAGCAACGGCGTTTCATGCGTTTCAGCAGGGATACATCTCAGAACTGCAGAGTGATAGCAGCTATGTACAGCACAAAGTTTTATGGTACCAGTTATGTAAGTTATAGAAGTTAAGCAATAATGTAGATTATGAATGTACATGCAGAAAAAGTACATTTACTGCCAGATATCTCTGAGAACCAAGAGGGAATGTAAAATTGAGATTTTTGTACTTGATTCTAGTATACTTGGAAAACAGTTTATATTTGATGTCTTATAGGCTAAATAGGACTCAGTGGGCTGTATATGAGTATGTTTTAAAAGTTAATGGTAATCAGGCCCAGCATAATAGTGTAGCAGTTAAAGTCCTTGCCTTGAACCTGCCGGGATCCTATGTGGGTGCTGGTTCTAATCCCAGCAGCCCTGCTTCCCATCCAGCTCCCTGCTTGTGGCCTGGGAAGGCAGTCGAGGACGGCCCAAAGCCTTGGGACCCTGTACCGCGTGGGAGACCCAGAGGAACTCCTGGCTCCTGGCTCCGGATTGGCTAAGCTCCAGCCCTTGAATCCTCTTGGGGAGTGAATCATCAGACAGAAGATCATCCTCTCTGTCCCTACTCCTCTCTGTATATGTTTAAGTGACTTATGCTTTGACATTTGAAGTTTACTGTTATAGACTATGACTGAATAATAAACTAAAAACAAATAAATTTTTAAAAAGGTTAATGGAAATGGAATTAAAAGATAAGCTTATTTTGGTGGAAAAAATATTGAAATCCAGAAGAGGTATCTTCAAAAAGAGTAGTATGAAAAAATTTCAAATTCCATAAAGTATTCACACAGTTTAGTACCTTGTATCTTGTATAAATTTTTGAACTACTATCCTCTATGAACCATTTGTATACATGTGACATAAAGTGTTACCTTCTCCATGATGTTTAAGAAGAACACAGGCAGTGCTCTTAAGAAATTTGTTAACAAGCAGTTTCCAGCTGTCAGATCCTCACATAGCAGCAGAAGTAACAGGGCGGTTTGTGGCTGTTGGTTTCATATTCTGCTTAACTGCTACACATTCTGCTCTTCCTCTCCAATCAGGTTATTTCGAAAAACATGTTTTATAATTGTTAAAATTTCCTATAAATTAAACGTTATTAAATACCATCCATTGTCTCCAATATTCCGTTCTTATCTCCAGAGATAGCGGTTGTCAACATGATACTGCCTCACAAAGTTCAGTGAGTGGAAAAAGTTTTGAAATTCAAATCAATACAGAACAGTCTTTAGAATGTTCATAGAAAATGGGTATTATAAGATATCTGTGCATGGATTTAAAAAATTTGCATGAACATACTTAATTCTATTTTCCACACACTTTTTGAAGCCTTCCTGCATTTTGATGTGAATCTCAACAAATATGTCAGGTATGTATTTATACACTTTATTTGAGTTTTTGCATTTTTGCCTTTTTATTAACAAAAAGCCATACTAATACTAATTAGCATCTGTTATAGGATCATATTCTCAAGTAGCATTCTTTTAACACATACAGCTCTATGGCATTTCACATAACCACTCTCCAGTTGTTTGTTTCTTGCTGCGGTACATAGTCCTGACTGAAGTCAAGGCATTTGGGCTCACATAATGGGTCTGCCCGTTACAAGCTACAGAAGCTTTGGGAGATTACTGAACTCTGATTTTTCTTTAGAAAATTCAATTTTTCATTTATTGAAGGTGAATAAATTTCATGTGTGTCACATATGTTTAGAAACATAGTGATGCTTCTTACCCTATCCTCCCACCTCCTTTTTTCTTTTGTACAATGACAAACTTTCTACTCACTTGAAAATCACAGGCCTAACCTCCAACAAAGTAAAACATTGAACTAAACATAGTGTTGTAGGAGAAGTGTAAGGATTAAATTCTGACCCACAAAGTTTGTTAAGCTCACTTATCTCCACCACTCCATGTACTGTCAGACCCGGCTGCGGCCACCAGGCACTGGCAACGGCAGCCACACTCTGCCCTTGGATCCAAGTTCTTGAAATAAGTCCAGTCTTTTTACTGAGCTGACAGTTGCTTAACCTTGAAACTGAGTCTAGAAAGCCAGCTCATTTTCTGCCCACTACAAGTGGATAAATATAAAAGATGCGAAAACCAAACTCATTTTTCTGATTTTGATAAATGAAAGAGAAAGGAATGTGGCTGCTACTTGTTACAATGAAGGTGTAGTCAGATTGGTTTCTCAGATTATTTTTGCTTGTAAAAATAGCTAATATTTATTTGCATGTTGGTGTTTGCACAGGGCTTTTACATTATTGGACCTAGACTTGGGATAAAACACTTCTTGCAGAGGGAAAAGTTTTAACTGTTGCAGCATATCTTATCATTTTCCAAAGAGGAGTTTTTTCCTCTTTTTTAAAGATTTATTTACTTTTATTGAAAAGGCAGATATACAGAGAGAAGGAGACACAGACAGAAACATCCTCCGTCTGTTGATTCACTTCCCAGGCAGCCACAATGGCCAGAGCTGAGCTCCTTCAGATCTCCCACATGGGTGCAGGGTCCCAAGGCTTTGGGACGTCCTCCACTGCTTTCCCAGGCCACAGGCAGGGAGCTGGATGGGAAGTGGGTACACCAGGATTAGAACCAGTGCTCATATGGGATCCTGGTGTGCAAGAAGTCTTTAGCCATTAGGCTACAATGCGGGACCGTTTCATCTTTTTTCTTATGTTCCTACCTTGCCCCTTGTGGTAGATTAAATGATGTTTTCAGTTCTTTACCTCTCCTTCCATCTATGATTAATTCTAAACATAAATTCAATATATTCAATTCCATATACGCTCTGTCAAAGTTTCACAAGTTTTCCAAATCCAGCACAAATGTATCTCAGATCTCTTGTGCAGCTCCCAAGCAGCAAAAAGCAACTCTTAGTATTCTTTTGTCAGTTAAGACAAAAAAAAAAAATCTTTACATCAACCTCTCTCACTTTATCTTTAGAAAACAGATACATGTGATCCCACATATATGTAAGCATCTGTAGTCCTCTCAAAAATACCTTGAGCTTGTCTGCTTCAGAGGGTTGAAAAAATACAGGATACTGAATAAAATTTCAATTAGGAATACTGGCATTTAAAAATTATGGGTGGGACATTGTGGATCAACTGATTACGTTTCCTATTGAAATGACCACATCCAGTATTGTACTACCACTTTTAGTCCTGGCTCCTCCACTTCTGATCCAGTTTTCTGCTAATGCTTCCTGGGAGGTAGAGGATGGTGATTCAATTATTTGTGTCCATGCCCCCTATGTGGGAGAAGCAGATGGAGCTATGGGTGCCTGGCTTTGGCCTGACCTAATCCTCGCTGTTCCAGGCATTTGGAAAATGAACCACCAGATGAAAGTGCCCTCTCTCTTCCTATCTGCCACTTTCATTTTGCCTTTGAAGCAGATGCAAAATGAAGATATTTGTAAGTATTAATACAACTGTATTCTTAGGGCCCGGCGCGGTGGCGCAA